TGGGCTGGGAGGGACCTTGAGCATCTCGTTCCAACCTCAGGGAGGATGAGGAGCTGCTCCAGGGTGGGAGCTTCACCCAGAGGAGTCTGGGTGTGGGTGTGGAAGCAGATCCAGGTGGGATCTTGCAGGTGGGATCTAAGGAAGGGAAGGTGTGGGAGTGGGAATAGAGCAAGGATGCCTTGGAGAGTCAGACCAAGGAATCTCACCTGGGATGTTTTCCCCACCCAGATCCCGATATTGTCTCGGAGAAGAAACCCGTCACCGAGGTGGATCCCACCCTCTTTGAGAAGAGGTTCTTGAAAAGGATCCGGGATTTGGGGGAGGTAAGAGGAATGTCACCCCAGAGCACAGCCACTGCTGTCCCCACAGCCCCTGCTGTGTCACCCAAACACCCAAATCAGTGCCTGGCTGTCCCCACAACCCCTGCTGTGTCACCCAAACACCCAAATCAGTGCCTGGCTGTCCCCACAGCCCCTGCTGTGTCACCCAGACACCCAAATCAGTGCCTGGCTGTCCCCACAGCCCCTGCTGTGTCACCCAAACACCCAAATCAGTGCCTGGCTGTCCCCACAGCCCCTGCTGTGTCACCCAAACACCCAAATCAGTGCCTGGCTGTCCCCACAGCCTCTGCTGTGTCACCCAAACACCCAAATCAGTGCCTGGCTGTCCCCACAGCCCCTGCTGTGTCACCCAGACACCCAAATCAGTGCCTGGCTGTCCCCACAGCCCCTGCTGTGTCACCCAGACACCCAAATCAGTGCCTGGCTGTCCCCACAGCCCCTGCTGTGTCACCCAGACACCCAAATCAGTGCCTGGCTGTCACTGAATGTTGTCCTCAAGGATGCTCCTTTCTCTCCCACCCAGGGCCACTTTGGCAAGGTGGAACTGTGCAGATATGACCCAGAAGGTGACAACACCGGGGAGCAGGTGGCAGTGAAATCCCTGAAGCCCGAGAGTGGAGGGAATCACATCGCTGACCTGAAGAAGGAAATTGAAATCCTGAGGAATCTTTATCACGACAACATCGTCAAATACAAGGGGATTTGCACAGAAGATGGTAAATCTTGAAGAATATTACAAAGTGTATGAGTTTTCCTTTAGAATTTTTAAGTGTCCTGCCTGGAGCAGGTTTTCCTGTGCATTGGCTCAGGAATGGAGGATGGGAATGAGCCATGGGATGTTTAAAATGCTGCCGGTGCTCTGGGCTTGTACAAAAGCTGTTGAGAAGGGTCTGCTAAACTAAACATGCTCTGTTTTTTTAGGAGGAAGTGGGATTAAACTCATCATGGAATTCCTTCCCTCTGGGAGCCTGAAGGAGTATCTCCCACGGAACAAGAACAAGATCAACCTCAAGCAGCTGCTCAGATACGCAGTTCAGATCTGCAGGGTGAGCTGGGCCCTGAGCCTGCAGCTCCATCAGCAGGCTGGGGGGAAGGAGAACATCAGCACAAAGCCCTTGTCCTTCTCTGTCCCCAAGGATCACAACCCTGAAGCAATCTCTCCCATGCTTCGGGTGCCAGAGGCTCAAGGATCAGCGGGGGAATAGTGAGGAGGTTCCAAGTTCCAAAGGTGGCTGTGAGAAGTTGTTCCTGTGGGAGGATTTGGAGGATCAGGAGGGAGGGCAGCACTTGGAAGTCTGAAGGGATGGAGATGAGAGTGCAGAGCAGTAACTGGAGAAAAAGGGATTAAAGTATTGGAGGAATAAAGGAAAGGAAATCAAAAGCTTCTTTTCTCCTCTCTTAGGGCATGGACTACCTGGGCTCCTGTCAGTACGTGCACCGTGACCTGGCAGCGAGAAATGTCCTGGTGGAGAGTGAGAACAGGGTGAAGATTGGGGACTTTGGGCTGACCAAGGCCATCGAGACGGATAAGGAATATTACACCGTCAAGGACGACCGCGACAGCCCCGTCTTCTGGTATGGCTGGGGCCAGGCTGCAGGACAGGGACCCCTCTGCTCCTGCACTCCCGAGATCTCCTGCTTTTCTCAGAGGCCTAAGGAAGGATACACCATGAGAGCAAGGAAAAGGCACCTGTGCACTCACCTCTTGTGCTGTTTATTTCTTCCTGCACTTAATGATGCATTTCCCCACTCGTTTGGGTTTGGCCTGCTCGGTTTCACAGGGCCTCCCTGTGGAACACACCTCATGTGTTATTTTTAATTTTGTGCCGGGGCTCCACAAGCACAGCTGCGGCTCTGGAGTGTGTGAGCAGGGCTGGGTGTGACACTGTCCCCTCGTGTCCCCAGGTACGCCCCGGAGTGTTTGCTGCAGAGCAAGTTCTACATCGCCTCCGACGTCTGGTCCTTCGGGGTGACGCTCTACGAGCTGCTCACCTACTGCGACTCCGAGTGCAGCCCCATGGCAGTAAGTGGCTGAGGTGGAAGTGGCTGCAATCCCAATACTGTAAAACAATTCTTGCAACAAGAAGAGGAACTGGAGAATCGTGGGCTCATCCCGGGCGGGAGGGACCTGAAGGCTCATCTCCTTCCACCCCTTCCATGGGGAGCCCTTCCTGTGGGTTTATCCTGGGAAACACCCTGGGGCTTGTCCTTGTGGTGGGGTGAGGATTCCCAGCTGACCCCGCTGTCCCCACAGGAATTCCTGAAGATGATCGGCCCCACGCAGGGACAGATGACGGTGGCACGGCTCGTGCGGGTCCTGCAGGACGACAAACGGCTGCCACGGCCACCCACCTGTCCTGAGGAGGTGAGGGAGGGGGGGTGGGTGGATGGATGATGGGTGGATGATGGATGGATGGATGGATGATGGATGGAGGATGGATGATGGATGGATGGATGGATGGATGATGGATGGATGGATGATGGATGGATGATGGATGGATGATGGATGATGGATGGATGGATGGATGATGGATGGATGATTGATGGATGATGGATGGATGGATGGATGGATGGATGGATGGATGATGGATGGATGGATGGATGGATGGATGATGGATGGATGATGGATGGATGATGGATGGATGGAGGATGGATGATGGATGGATGGATGATTGATGGATGGATTGATGGATGGATGGAGGGATGGATATGGATTATGGATGGCTGGATGGATGATGGATGGATGATTGATGGATGGATGATGAGTGGAAGGAGGGAGGGAGGAAGGTCTGTCCATCTGTCCCTGCTGGACACAGGTTCAGCCCCAGCAGGGTCACGCTTCCCTGGTTCCACAGGCCCAACCACTTGGGTAGGAAAAGCTTCAGGAGTGCTGGGAAGAGGCCTTGCCAAGGCTTTCAAGTTTTGTTTTAAGATGTTTCTTGCTATTAACATTCCCAAGTCCTCAGTGTCCTTTCAGAGGGGTCAAGGACTTGCTATAGTACCTGGATCCATGGAAATTCCTTGGGTGTCCCTCCGATTTTGGCAGTTCCTGGGGTGCAGCTCCCCAGCTGGAGCTGCTGTGTTGGTTTAACCTGAACTGCCCACAGCCCCTGCTCAGGTCCTGCTGCCCCTGCCCAGCACCTGAGGGGTTTCTGTTCCTTCAGGGGACTCTGCTCCACTGTCTGCAGTGGAAAACCCAAAGAAATGTTTAATTCCTTTAAAAATCTCCCTGGTTCTGTTGCCAGGTGGATCAGCTGATGAGGAAGTGCTGGATCTACAAACACGACGAACGCACCACCTTCCACAACCTGATCCAAGGATTTGAAACAATTATGAGTAAAATGTAATTAATTTTTTTAAATCCTGTCTGGACTTTAAATGCCCGGCAAACTGTGCCCAAGGCTATTCCTTTTGGGTTTTTTTTAACTCCTGTAATTTGTACTCTGGCTGGGCTGATGTTGTTATAAAGGATTCTTTTGCCAACAGATTGAAGAGTTGGATTAAAAGAATTTAAAAGGTTTTGGCAAAATGAGCTGCAGCTCCCTTTGCTGCTGTTCTTGCAGGGCAGTTTTAACCTGCTCTGATTCTGGTTGTGCCACAATTGGAATTGCCCTGATGGATGATGTGAGCTGGGAAAATCCACTGCATTTCTCAGCTCAAACCTCAGCCAGTGGCTGTAAGAGGACTCAATTAATAATTTTAAAGTCAGCTGACAAAATATCCTTCACATGCACTTAAATCCTAGTAACAAACAAAACAACTTTGTCATAAAAATATAGGGGAAGTAAAATTTCCAGCTCTTTTTAAACCCACCAGGCCCAGTCCTGAGCTCTTACAGGTATTTTAAAAAAAAGTGTTCAGAAATAACACCCCAGAAGCATAAAGGGGTGGGCACAGTTGTGCATTTCAGTGAGAGGCCCAATTTTGGGATAAATAATTTGCTTTTCCTAACTCCACTCCCACATTCTACCCCCCTGAGCTCTGAGCCTGGGTGTAGTCCTGGAGGGGGAGAATTGCATCCCTGGCACTGAGGGATGTGCAGGGAAGGAATTCCTGGAGCTGGGAAGGAATTCCTGGAGCTGGGAAGGAATTCCTGGAGCTGGCAAGGAACCCAGTCCATGCCAGAGCCTGCAGGGATTATGCAAAAGGAAAAAGGGCCTGAGCACCCAGGGGTGTCCCAGGGAATGGGAACTTCCAACAATTTTTTTTTTTGAGAACATTTTGACTCAGCCCATGAGTGGTTTAACTGGAACCTTCTGCTGCCATTCACACCTGGAGCTGGAAAATGCTCTGAAGAGATCCTCAAGTTTTGGCAATAATAGAAAGAGGTTTATATATAAATATATATATATATAAATATATATAAAAATGGTAATTATGAGCTCCAAGGAGGTCAGATTTATTTTTACAGTGTTATTGTTTCTGTATGTCACTTAGGAAGCTGAATTTCATCTGTAAGCACTTTGTTACTCTTTATACAAACAAGTCTAATAAAATTTTTTTTTCTCCATGTGCCTCCCTTTTTAATCATAAATTAAACAGAGGAAAGTTTTTAAAATCAAATTTCCATAGGAATGGTGTTCTTTTGAAACCTTTTCCTACCTTACCTGATTAAAGGAGTCCAGGGCTGTTTTCCACACACAAAAAATCCACTTGAAGTAAGTACCAACAATTTATTTTCATTGAAAAGTGTAACAAGTTGAGAAAGTTGCATATACAAACAGTTGAAACAAAATATTACAAGTGAATTTATCAATACATACAGGCAGAATCCCAGAAAAGCTCCTGGCTCCTGTTTGGGGAGCAGTTCCAGCAGCTGAGGGAAGAGGGAATTCAATTGGGATTTTTTTAAGCTTTGAAAATGTGGACCCTGGTCACATCCCAAAGCTTGAAAGGCAAAAGTTTAAGACTTTTAATTTAAAAAAATCAGTATTGAAAAATGGCTTCAGTGTTCTCTAGCAAAGAAAAGGGAGGAGGAGGTGGCTCCTGGCCTCAGTGAACTCCATCCAAATGGATTTGCAGCAGGATTCCAAGGGGGGAAAGCCTTGGAATGAGGGCTGGCTCCTCATTTACCTGTCACTGATGGCAAAAGGAGGGACTGCTGATCTCCAGCTCCAAGGGCAGAAGAGAACAACTCGAGGCAGAGCTGATAATAAGCTAAAAATACAAAAAGTCTTATAAAAAAAAAAAAAAAAAAGGAAAATGCACTCAAAAGTGGGAAACAACGTGGGGTGGCCCAGGATGAGCTGTCCCACACCTGGGGAAGGAGGATGCTGCCTCACACTGGGATTTCTTTCCTCCATGGGCTAGCTGTGGATTCTCAGCCTAAAAACAAAGTTATTCCACTGTCCAAGGAGCAGCTCTCCAAATCCCAGGGAATATTCCAAGGCAGCACAGGTAGCATCTCCCTTTGAACAGGCATTTATTGAGAACATCACCGAGGCTCTGGGAATCCATTTGGTATCGCTCCATTCCAGGATTAAGAACAAACACTAAAAACCGAGAGGCTGTCAATGCAGAGCTCTTAATCCTGGAAAAAAAGGAAAGTTGGAAAAAAACCCCCCATATTCTGAGTTAAAAAAATACAAAATACTTACTATCAAGACTTCCTCTTTTAACTTCCTCAGGCTGAGGACTGGAGAAAGGATCAGCTTTCTTTCCTCTGGGTTTTTATTGCTTTCAGCTGGAGCTGCCCCAGCTCCCCAGGTCCTTGTGCTCTGTCCCTCAGCCCGCAGGTGACAAAGCCAACACTGTCCCCTCCTCTCCGCGTGAGAGCAGCCGCCACCTTTGTCACCTTTGTCACCTTTGTCCTGGGCTGTGGCGGCACAGAGCTGGCCCCTCCTGGGACAGCCTTGGGGGCAGTTAAGGCAGCAATAAATACAGAGCGATTCCCGGCTGCCCTCCCTGCCCGCGGGCTGCAATCCAGGGAATCCAGGGAATCCAGGGAATCCATGGATCGAGGCGAGGATCAATAGACGCGCTTCTTCTTGAGGGAGGACTCGGAGTAGCGCGGGGCCGGGAGCTCCGCCGGGCCGGGCTCGGGGGAGGACGCGAGGTACGAGGAGCTGCGCTTCGGGGCCACCTGCGGGCGACACGCGGCCCAGCTTGGGCTTTTCATGTGCGAAATAATTTTTTTTTCTTTTTTTTCTTTTTTTTTTTTTTAATTAGTCTTATGTTCTAGTTTACAAGTTGTGAGTTTTATAGTAGTTTATTTCAATAAGCTAAAAACGAAGATATATTTTTTCTTCAGCTGTGAGTTTTATTGTCATTTATTTTACTAAACTAAAAATGTGTTTTAGATGTGTTTTTTTCTTTATAAGGTTTTTTTAAGGATAAATTGGCTAATTAAATTATACTTAAATTATTTTTAATTTAGTAAGTAACTACTTGCGGCTTGCAATGTGGACTTTTTACCTGATTACACAATACTATTTAAACTGATGAAGAAGGACTGGTTTTCACCCTAAAACTGCTATCTTGCTTTATATATATTACTATATTCTAAAACTTTAAGTTTTCTAGTATGTGATATTACACACTTCTATTCAAACTGCACACCCACAATACCAGTTCTGTCATTCCATTTTGGAAACTTCTCCACAGCCTCAGGTTAATGCAGTGTTCTCTTGGGGGTCAGTGCCTGTCAGCACAGAAAGCCCAAAATTCTCAGTAACCAGGGGTCCAAAAAGACAGGACAAGTGACACTCGAGGCACAGCCACTGAAAAGCACTCCAGGCTGGGAATTCCCAGTGAAGTGATGCCAAAGACCTGGCTCCTTCAGCTGGGAGTTCTGGGGTTTGTGCCCTTTCTCTAAAAAATGACTGATCCTCATTCCACAGCACCTGGATAAAATCCAGAGGGATAATGGCCTTGGTGATGTCCTGCAGCTGCTCCAGATATCTCCAGCATTTAGGATGAGGCACCTTTCATTGCTCCTGGAGAGCTGAGGGGGTTCAACAGTCCTGGCCCAGCTCCCAGGCCAAGCCAGGGGGTGAAAGATGAATTTCCAGCTGTGCCAGAGCGGGTCTGGGCAGGATCTCAGCCCCTGCCTTTCCACAGGAGTGAGGGATGGATGGAGCAGCAATGGATCTTTAATTGGAATTTCACCTCCAGCAGCTCACTGTGCCACCCTCAGCCCTGTGGGGCCCAGAGTGGGGTTTCTGTGAGGGCACAGCTGCCCCAAGGCTCCCTGGTTCCCCTTCCCTTTGGAAAATCCTTTCCCAGCAGCTCTCTAAGCACCCTGTGCTGCTCACATTCACACTCAAACTGCTCCTGCTCAGGCCAGTCTCATCCTGGGGGCACCTTCATCACAAACAGAATAGTTTGAGGAAAGGCTTCAGTTTTCCCCCCGTCCTCTGAAAGCCATGGGGACGTCACCCATGTCCTGTGTCCTTCCAGGTCCACACAAACCCCCTGACCCTGCTGCTCCTGAGCCTCTGAAGCAGCAGCATTAAAAAAAGCCCCAAAAAGCAGGATTCAAACGAGCTGCAGGGTCCCTGCAAGCACAGCCACACAAGCACACACTGAACTGACAGAGCCTCTGCACTGAGATTTAGCTGCAATTCCAGCAGTTTGGAGGCAAACTGTGCTGCTGTGCCCGTGCCAAGGGACTGACCGTGCTCCTCCTGCCTTTTATGGCTCCTGGCATGAACAGCACCCCCCAGGAACCTCTCTGCAGATAAATGAGAGGTGCTGCTTGGCTCAAACCCCACACTCTCCTTCTGCTGCCATTCCATCTTTTCCAGCTGCATCAGAGCCCTTGGGAATCTAAAAACGTTGAGTTTTTCATGTCCCAGCCCGTGGCCAGGCTTTGTCCACCTTTACCCCAAACCATGTCAAAGCCAGCTGTCCCCAGGAGTCAGAAACTGCTGGAGTTAAAATGAATACACTTCAAAATCTCCACAAAACCAGGAATCTCATGCCCAGGTTAATGCCAGGACAAACCACAGAATTCAATGCTGCAATTCAAGGGCCAGGCCCCTCAGCTCTCCCACCAAAAAACCAGGAGCAATGGGATTTACCCACAGCACAGGGACAGAATTTCTCAGGAGTTCTGTATCCTAACCAGACTCCACTGTTTCCACAGCATCCATTTCTTGGTGAGAACTCAGTGTCCACTGGAGCACCAGCAAAGGAAGCTTTGCTCACTGAGTCTGGCTGAAGCAGACTGCAGCTGACAGCTGCTGTAATTCCAAATAAAAGCCAGTATTCCAGTAAATTTTTGGTAATAAATAAATAATATTTTCCAATAAAAGTTTTAGCCTCCAGTGAAGGGGCTGTTGGTAACCTGGATGCTGCCTAAGACCAGGTAAATCTGCAGATGCTCCAAGAACTGTTCTAGAAACACATACACACAAAAAAATTGTGTATTCTATAAATTTGGCAGATAAAAATCTTTAGATTTATCCTGTCTTCTTTAATTTGCTTGCCAGGAAATTTTGAGCTGCTCTCTGCACTTCAGAGATTTCTATCCCAATGCAAACCCTCTGCAAGTCAGGCAAACATCCATTTAAATCCAGTGTAACCTCCTCCTCTTCTCTCCCTGCTTTAGTTGCCTCCTTCCAGGCATTTTTGCACACCCTTATCTCTCCAAGAAGCTCCCAAAAACCCAGCCCTGCTCTGCAAGGCTCTTCTCCTATTGCCAGGAATTGTGTGGAGCACAGGGAAAGCTCCACTCGGGGGCAGCAGCAGGCAGGGAGAAGCTCTGCTGCTCCTTCCCTCCTTCCCTCCTCTCACCTGCTTGGAGGGATTTGCTGGAGGAGGCTGCAAGCCCGGCTGGGATCCCTGGGCTCCACTCAAAAAGGAAGGCACCACCTGCAGGCAGGTGCTGTAGTTTGGGAAAGATCCACCTGTAGATTCCTGAATCCAGAAGGGGATCCATGAAGAAGGAAAAAAGATTTAATAATTCTTTTTGTTTTTTGTTTTTTTTTTGTGAGGAGCTCTCAGCAGGTGTGGAAATACCTGAGTAACAAGAGGTGCAATTCACAGCAGCTCAGGTGTGCAGCAATTCCTGGAGCAAAATGTGGGATTGGGATGATGCTTTAATTTCTGTAATTCCTTTCAAAAGTGTCTTTCTCCTTGCTCACAAAAACCTCAGCTTGGGCAAGAAACAGCCCTTCCATGCTGGGAAATTCAGCACTGGGAAATGCCATTAATGGTGTGCTGCTTCCTGGTGGGAATATTTTGGGAATATTTTAGTTCACTGCTGAGCATTCCAGGTGGTTTTGGACGGTGGGATTTTAGAGAGGGATATTTTGGGTGTGACTCCAGGGGTGCAGGGCTGCCCTGCAGCAGTGCCCATGCAGTGCCTTCTCCAGCCCCTCATTCCTGTGCCAACACACAAAGCAGGTGTCCAAAAGCTGATGGGAGCAACAGCCAGTGGAGACAGCAAGAAAATAAAATTATTTCTCACCTCAGAGACTTCATTTTCCAAGCCATCCACTCTGGCCTGGGCAGAGTGATGTGCCTGAGCATAATGCTGGTACCACTGCTGGACAGCCTCCTACAGAGGAGCAGAAATCCTCTCCCATGCCTGCCTACAATTCTTACAACCCAAAGCTCTCCAAGAAGCATCAAAACACCTTCAGCACCAGTGGTGAAGCTCAAATCAAACATTTAAATTTATGTTAAGTGCTTAAAACACTCAGGAGGCACCTCTGGCCTGGCAGTGAGGCAGGGACAACAATTCCTGTTATGGGAACACCTCCAGGGGTGGGGCAGCCTCTGTGCATCCCCACCCTCCCACGGAACAATTCCCAATTCCCAATGTCCCATCCAGCCCTGCCCTCTGTCAGTGAAGCCATTCCCTATGTCCTGTCCCTCCCTGCCTTGTCCCCAGTCCCTCTCAGCTCTCCTGGAGCCCCTTCAGGCACCAGATGTGATCCAAGAGGTGTGTGGCTCCCTGATCTGTGCAGTGACTCTGTTCTCCCCACCCCTCTGGCCAGGCTGGGAGCTCCCAGCCCAAAAATCCCTGAGTGCCAGGAGTTTGGGGCTCCCAGATCTCCCTGCCAGCAGCAGCAGAGTCTGTGTCTCCCCACTGACAGCCTGGGCAGGAGGCAGCGCTCAGAGCTGATCTGTCAAGTCACAGCTTTTTACAGACTTGGGATGGTTAATGAAAACATGGGAATTTGATCCCATATCCACAGTGGAACTGGCTGTGAGCACTCTGCAGAGCTGCACCTCCTGGCCAGGCTCTGATCCCACATGGGGCAGATGGGGAGCACATCCTGTGCACTGAGAGCAGCTGGCAAACATCCCCACGCTGTGCAGAATGCAGAGCTCTCTTCCCTGGGAAAGGCAAAGAGAAAAACCCCCTGGTTTTGAAGGCAGACAAAAGCCAAGGCAGAGGTGCTGAGAAGTCATTTTCTAGTGAGTGCCCACAGTTCAGGCTCTCAAGAAACAATTTTTTCAAGGGTTGTGATTTCTTTGTGCTCAATCTGCTCTGAACACTGAAATAGATCAAGTGTCAGTGCAGAGGCTCAGGAAGAACACCCAGAGAAAACAAGGGGCAGCTCTGGGAGCATCCCAGGGGACACCAGGCTGTGGGATTCCTACCTGTGGGTACTCCCCAGGCTGCTGGGAATAACTGAAATAATTTTCCATTGCATGTTGTGATGCAGTTCCCTGAGACACAGCAGCATCCACGACACTGTTTGGAAGGCTCTGCTGTGGAGGACTGGAGGCTTTGCTGGCAATTGCTGCTGGGAACACAAAGAACAGAGTTTGGATAAACACCTGGCTTGTAAAATCCACACAAATTAGGTTCTGTTCCAGGATTAAAATTGAGATTTGTGCCCCAAATTAATCAGTGCTACTGATAATTGAAAGGCTTCTATAAGTTTGTGAGCCTCTGAAAATTTAGCCCTGTTTAACCATCAGGATAAACTTTGCAGTTTTAAGGCAGACTACAAGATTTCCTTGAGGATAAATGCTGTGGTCACTGGCTTTAGCAGCAAACAGGATAAATATTTGCCATGCTCTGGCTGTGGAAATTTGCAATGCAATCCATGGAATGTTTGCTTACCTGGCAGACAGATACCAGGCAAAACACTTGCCAAATTCAAGTAGGGGTTGGTGCTCAGGCGAATTTCTTTTGGGGGTTCCCCAAGCAGAGAAGTCTGTTTTTTCAAGGGAGCCTGAAAAATGGACAGGGCAGTTTGCATTAAATTCATATAAACTTGATCAAAATAAGGTAAAGTGGCTCAGCAGGGTCATGGGAAAAGCTTAGTCCTATGAATAAAACCCTTTTGAAATAAAATGAAACTTTTGAAGTCAATCCTTCAAAAGATCCATTTTATTTCAGCAATCTGGACACATTGCCTGCACTTTTTTCTTCCAAACAGTTTTTGTAGGAATGTTTCTCTTCAGACTGCAAGTTCCTAAAGGATATTACAAAACAAACAAACAAAAGAAAACCTTTTATATGCAAGTGAAGGAATAATAATCACTCGAACAATTCCAGATGCAGGGAGTGAACATTAAGTACATGGCCAAGACAAAATCAACTCTTTTCACTTGGAGACACAAGGAAATAAAGGCCAAATGTTAGAAAAATCATGAATTAAGCACACGTTTCCCCAAAATGTTGAAGTATTGATGTATATTAAAATTATTAATTTTATAATATAGTATATATATATATAATTATTATTATAAATTATTTTAGATTTATATATAAAAAAGGAAGGGCAGAAAAAAATTCTGAAAGAATGAGACCACTTAAATCCCACGCCATCATCCTCTCACACCTCACCTTCAAGGGAATAAACAATATTTTTTTTAAAATGGTAATTAAAAGTGGAAAATTTATATACACACACACAAGCACCTGGAAACCCACAGCCCCCCCTCCCCATCAGAACTGCTCCTGATGAATCACAAAATTCAACCCCAAGTTCAAATTTTGGCCTGTAGAAGAGACACTGCCCCGAGATAAATGTCCCCATCCCGCACTGTGAGGCAAAGAGCTGGAAAGGAGCCCTGCAGCAGTGAGGAGCTGCCTTTGTTCCTTCAGCTGGACCACCAAGGACGGGCCCTCCCCATCCCCACAACTGCACAGACCTCCATGGGGCCCTGGGATGAGCTGGGATGGGGAAACTGGACAAAGAGGGAAGGGGGAAAAGGAAGGGGGGAAAAGGAAGGGGGGAAAAGGGGGGAAGGAAGGAAGGAAGGAAGGAAGGAAGGAAGGAAGGAAGGAAGGAAGGAAGGAAGGAAGGAAGGAAGGAAGGAAGGAAGGAAGGAAGGAAGGAAGGAAGGAAGGAAGGAAGGAAGGAAGGAAGGAAGGAAGGAAGGAAGGAAGGAAGGAAGGAAGGAAGGAAGGAAGGAAGGAAGGAAGGAGGAAGGGAAGAAGGAAGGGAGAAGGAAGGGAGAAGGAAGGGAAGAAGGAAGGGAAGAAGGAAGGGAAGAAGGAAGGGAAGAAGGAAGGGAAGAAGGAAAGGAAGAAGGAAAGGAAGAAGGAAGGGAAGAAGGAAGGGAAGAAGGAAGGGAAGAAGGAAGGGAAGAAGGAAGGAAGAAGGAAGGAAGAAGGAAGGGAAGAAGGAAGGGAAGAAGGAAGGGAAGAAGGAAAGGAAGAAGGAAAGGAAGAAGGAAGGGAAGAAGGAAGGGAAGAAGGAAGGGAAGAAGGAAGGGAAGAAGGAAGGGAAGAAGGAAGGGAAGAAGGAAGGGAAGAAGGAAGGGAAGAAGGAAGGGAAGAAGGAAGGGAAGAAGGAAGGGAAGAAGGAAGGGAAGAAGGAAGGCAAGAAGGAAGGGAAGAAGGAAAGGAAGAAGGAAAGGAAGGAAGCAGGGAGAGGCAGTGTCTTGCTGAGCTCCTTACCCCCAGGCTGGAGTCGCAGTTTTTGGGCTGTCCCGGAGCTTTGCCGAGGGCTGCCCGCAGAGGGAGGCCGGGCAGTGCCTGAGGGAAGGGCGGCGCTCCCGGCACCGCCTCGCCTTTGTCTGCAGCAGCGGTGGGCCCGGGGAGAGCTGCTCCGACCATGTGCTGGCTTGGGAAGAATGGCAGCATGCCCATCCCTGCTGCTGCTGCTGGAATGGGAGCTGGGTTAGATGCTGCAGCCAGCCATAAATGGAGAAACTTTGCTGTTAGATGGCAGTTTATAGAGAGGGTTTGGCTGTGGGGTTAATGAGGCTGGAGGAGAACAATTCCAGATCTACTGCACTGGTTTTTGTTCTTTTCCCAATCCACAGGAAAACAAATAAATTTCAAGCTGATTCAATAAAACTCTGACTTTTCCAAACATCCCCTGTGATAACTTACTTAGTGCTTCCTGACATTTTGAAAAAAAAACTGGGAACAACATCCTGGAGGATGCTGGATGGGAGCACAGGGGGAAACCCCACCTCAACTGGCATTTGGAAGAATTCTTTTCACTGAAGAACTGGAAAGTGTTCTCCAAAATTAAAATCTGGATATTTAGAGGAGCTTTTTGCCCTCCCCTGGATGCCTTTTCCTTGCTCCTGGTCACTGCCATGACTCAGAGCATGGCCGGGATTGCAGAACACAGGGAGCAATGGAGGAAACAAGATCAGAAAATCCTGGAATGGTTTGGGTTGGGAGGGACCTTAAGGATCATCCATTCCCACCCCTGTCATGGCAGGGACACCTTCCACTGTCCCAGGCTGCTCCAGCCTGGCCTTGGACACTGCAGGGATCCAGGGGCAGCCACAGCTGCTCTGGGCACCCTCCCAGACAGGAATTCTTTCCCATCTAAATCCCCTTTTCCAGCTTACATCTATTCCCTGTGTCCTGTCCCTCCATCCTTGTCCCCAGTCCCTCTCCAGCTCTCCTGGAGCCCCTCCAGGCCCTGCCAGGGGTTCTGAGCTCTCCCTGGATCCTTCTCCCCGTACCCAAATGAACTTTCCTCATAAATAGTGAGGGCATCAGTGGCGCAGAAATTTGCATTCCAAATTAACATATGTGACAGACCGGCTGTTAAAACTAATTTCTTAATAAAATGAAGGCAAAGAGCAAATTCGTGCTGCCTCTTAAGCAACTCCCATTTACCTGCTTTGAAAAACCCCACAAAATGTCACCTCTAAATGAAAGAACTGAAATAAATTCCAAGTGTACCAAAACAGGCAGCAACTGAGCTAGCAGTATTTAACAAGCTGCTTTTGTTACACAGGGAGAAAGGTGCATAAAAGTGAAGCTGGGCATTTCTACTGATTTGGGATGAAATAAAATGTCATTTACACTTGAGAGCTTCTCCTCCTCGTGTTGCCAGGCCTGAGTTCACTGCTGGCATCACCCCTATGCCCAGCACTGTCTGCAGGAGCATTGTTGGAGGCTCTCCCAGCAAACCTGGTTTCTAAAAGGAAGAAGAGAAAACTGTGTAAATGATTACAATAATCTGTTCATAGCTACTTTTTACAACTTCCACATTCTCAACCCCATCAGCTCCACTGAACTGTTCAAGGATCACAGAACCATGAATGGGTTGGGCTGGAAGGGACCTTAGAGATCACCTGATGATATAAATGAATTATTTTGGGAATTCTGAGAGTGTTCAGAGAGGGGCAGAGCTGCAGGGATGGCCTTACACTGTTTGCCTGCATGTTTTCCATCTTCAGGAGCTGCTGCTGGGGCAGGGGCAGGTGAGCAGGGCTCTGCAGCAGCAGGCTGGAGGTGCTCCCCAGAATTGAGCTCTGAGAAAGGATTAAAACAAGGGTTAGTTGGCACTCAGGGAGAAACACTTTCACACAGTACTGCTTGAAGAAATTAAAGATTTTCAGTTAAGACAGCAAAGGAAAATAATTTCCTCCACAGAACTGATTTTGCTTCAGAGAAATACCCAGATATGTTTCCTCCCACAACAGTCCACATGAAACCCTACTCCAGAGGCAATAAAACCTGACAAATCACAGTGCCTGCAGATTGGCAAGTCTATAAAATATTCACATTGCTCATTCAGAATATTCTGGATCAGCTTGCCACCAGAACTGAGCCACTGAATTAATAACTTTGGGGCACCCTCTTCAGACTCTGCCACTAGTATATTCAACATTATGAGTTCTGGCCAGCACTGAGGCTTAAAATAAACTTTAAAAGACATCATGATTTATGCTACAGGCCTGGAAGTGTCTGGCAGCATCATCTGCCAGTAAAATGCAGGGTGTTCTATAGGCTGTTGTACAAAAATAAACAGACAGGACACTGTGATCGTGCCAAGTGCACCCTTCTTCATTGCTTTGTATCACCAAACCCAGGGAATGAAGACTGAAAACACCTCCCAAATATTCCCTAGCCTTGGCTGTGTTTGGGTGGCAGGGTTAAATTCCCTAGGGAAGAACCCTTTGTGACTGAAATATCATCTTCTGGACTAAAAGATGATCTTCTGGACTCAGAAATGTGCTTTTCCAAACAAAGATGGGCCATATCTAGATTAGTTGTGCATCTATTTGAATTGTCTCAGTGGTTTCCAGGAGAAATTATGCAGGGCTGGTTATTGTCACCAGTGCCAGGGGCTGCTCCTTCTAAACTTGGCTCCAGCAAAAAAGCAAAGTGGCTCAGTTGCAAAACTTTCAAAAATAAAAGAGTGGAAAAATCAGTTTGGTCAGAATCCTCAGAGGAAAGGCTCTGGATTAATCAAGATTCAATAAATTGCTGGATGCCTGAGGAAAACATCCCTGAGAAAGCTGAAAATGCATTATTTTAGAGTGGGATAATTTAAGACTAAGAGAAATTAAGAGAAATAAGATGAAAAATGACTAGGTGAATAACCTTCAAGCCCTCTCTATTGAATCCTTTTTAAAGAATTATTTTTAAATATTTATTCTCATTCTGTTACTTCACATAAAGACCTGAATATCAAATAGAAACCTAAGACATGCAGGCAGCTAAACCAGTGTGGCTGGGGAGGGGTTTCAGTGACAAAACTGAATTTCTAAATAAATAAATAAATAATCAAACAAGCAAATAAATATAACAGTGACCCGCTACTTTGGCTTTAGAGAATACCCCAAAACAAATCACCCAAGAAGACAAAAGTGTGCCTTAGAGAAGAAATTGGGATAATCAAATCCTAAAATTCAGGTTTGGAGCTCATTAAATGACAGGAAGCTCCCAGGAAGAGAGTAAGACTTGATTTTAAGTATCTGGACAGACAAAACACAGAGTTGTTTGACTGCAGCTCTCCCAAAACCATTGGAAAAACCTTTGGATCATCATCAGTCCCACTGTTAATTGTGGAAAACATCCCTGGCTCCAGCTGGGAGCACCAAACTCTCCCACTGCCTCTCAAGGAAGCACAGGCTGAAGAGAGAGCAGCAGAATTTACACAGACCAATTGAAAATGTCATTTCAATTAAAAAAAAATATTCAATTAAAAAAAAAAAACCAAAGAATTATGTATATTTTATATGGGCAAAAGCAACACACTGGATGGGGCAAAATTAAGCAGAATTTATTCAAAATGAATATATCCACCTACCAGTTTTTAGAGAAAAAATAGAAAAGCTCAATATACTTAACAGAGGGATTATTTCTGCATTTTAGCTGGGTCTTTTTAAAGATCTCTAAGCCTGTGTTTGCCAAAAGAACTGCAAAAATAATTGATGCTGAAGGGGATTTTAGTTTTTCAATGGAAATGTCTGAAATATCAGAAATAATAAGGCCAAGTGATTGACTCCAATTCCTTGTAGGTATTTGTGTAAATACCTACCATATTAATAAATATTAATTAATATAAATACCATATTAATTAATGTTTAACTATTATTAAATTGAATTTTTGGCTCCTGGAAGAGCTGGAGAAACCCCTGAGAGCAGCTCAGCTCAAGGCAGAAATTCTGGCTGTGGGTGCATTTTCTCTCTCTCAATTTCTAGCCCAGACTCATCCCAAAGATCCTTCCCATTATCTCCCAGGAATTCTGGTGCCCATCTGGAATTACAGGAGATCTTGGAGGGTTTATCATAAGAAGTAACATCTGTAAATATTTATTTTTTTATGGCACATGCAGCACATCTGGGTCCCTGCAAGCCTGAAGATGAAGCTAAGGCTGCTGAACTTGTTGGTTTGAATCAGATAAACACATAAAGGCTCTCCAGGAGTCTGGATGAGCTGCTCCAAGAGAAAGGGATGTGCCAGGCTCCTTGAGAGCTCATTGCAAGAGGATTTTTTTCTGCCAGTAATGACAAGTTTTGTCTACATTGGCAGGTTTTAAGACAAAAATTTAGATAAAATAACTCCATTTTGCAGTTAGCACTGCCTGCTCCCCCATCTCATAACTTTCCTTAGAGCTCTAACAAGAACACTTGATTTTAACTGTAATTCCTTAAAACTTTAGGATCTCTCACGTTAAGTTTTCCCCAAATATTCTTTTGATGACAGGTTTTTTGTCACATACCTGATGAACTTTATTCAACTGCAAAAAAGGTGGCCCCACTGCTGAATTTATGAGGTGAGGTAAACCTGCAGAGGCTCCAAGAACTGTTTAAGAAACACACAAAAAAATACAAATTAGGCAAGTAAAAGTCTTTAGAATTATCCTATATTTTTAAATTTGCTTTCCAGAAAGGTTTCAGGTGTACAAAGGTCATTATAAGGGAACAGAGAGGCTCATTTAGTTTGGGAGAGGCTATGAAACCTTTTGATGTTCAATTACCAGAATGTGAGAGCTCCTCCACACCTGAGAGTTTCACTTCTGAGCTGATTCCAGGCTTCAGCGTTATCTGAAGTGCTTTAAATTCAGATTTATCTCAAGTGTTTCTGCCCTGAAGTGGTCACTTCACACCCATTTCTGGGTTTCTTTGCAGCCACACTCTCAGCTCTCCCCCACTTGATCTCCTCATCACCTGGTTCCGGTTCTGAGCACTTTCACCATTTGAAATGTGATTAATTAGGGTTTATGTTTATTCACATCCTAATTAGAACACAGAAATGTTCCCGGCTGATGCTGTAATAAATACTCTGCACAGCTGTGGCAGCAGCCAAAAGAATAAAGATTTACATTGGCAACAGGAGAAAGACTCAGGCTGCAAAATTCAGATCTAAAATCAGATTTAAGTTCAGCCAAGTCTTGCAGAAGACATTTCTTTCTAAACCCATTTCTAACATGAATATTCAGAACCCACAGAGTTCATACAAGGGGATTTGTAGGAACACTGAATTTTACCCACACACAGGAGTGTAGCAAAGCACTTCTTGTTTTTGCCTTCATAAAAGGTGGAATTACCTGCACAAACACACTGAAACACTGTCTGCACAGATTTTAAACATTATTTCTACTCAATTACTCTGCAAAAGCCCTGCAGCACTAAGGACAGGCTTTGATTTTGCACTGTTTTAGACCAGCTTACCAGGTTTAACAGCGTGGCCACGCAGCTGGGGCTGCAGCAGCATCTGCAGCATTGCTGGATTATTGAAACTTTTCATGATCTGCACTGGATTTGGCTCTGGAAGCAAGCCTTTCCTATTGTTCCTCATCTCCAATGAAGAGAGAAAAAGTGTTAGAAGCAGGAACAAAGCAATACATTTAAATCCCTCAAACTCCAATGGCAATGTACACACTTCATCTGACACAGAAAAAAAACATTTCCTTCCCTGTTTCCTGCTTTTTTTCTCCTCAAATGAAACACCTAACAAACGATTCCAACAAAATTTCAAGCACATTTCTTTTTTCCCTTTAAACCCAGAGTTATCAGTACAGGAGAGTAAGAAATGTTGCCATGAGCACCAGATCTTGTAACAGACTTCTCATCTCATTTATAGAGATGTGGCCTGAGCAGGCTGAGGAGAGGGAACTCTTCTGCCTCTCCATGTAACACTGATCACATCCAATTTTCTAGGAAATAATTTGATAAGACATGTGGGTGTAAACAGCTTTCTTCTACCTCGAGCATGAAATGAACCTATTTCTCCTGCCTTGAAATTTATCTTAAAGCTGACAAATTCTTGCCTCTTTGTTTTAAACCAAGTTTTAGCTCGTCCAGTGACTCATTCCCAGTCACTTTTGTTTTGAGCTGGAATGATTTCTCTTACAGGAGGTTACATTTAATAAATCCCAGAGCTATGTGGGTGCAACTTTGTAGTATTTAATGGATATTATTAATCTTCTTCCTGGCCATCTTTGCCTAGGAAGGAGCCTGAACTGGGCTGATTATACAGAATTCCAGAATGGATTGGGTTGGTTAAAGCCCGTCTATCCAACAGAGGGATCCAACAGCATTGACCTCACAGAACCACAGAATTCCAGACTGGGTTGGGTTGGGAAGGGCCTTAAATTCTATCCCACCCCTGCCATGGCAGGGACACCTCCCACTGTCCCAGGCTGGCTTTGATAAACCCAAAACGCTTCCCAAGCCCGGCTCCTTTTCCTCTCCGCACAAAGCCCCGGCTCGGGAGTGACGAGCTCATCCCAAAGAGGATTCCAGGGATCTCACCATCCTCTGTGCTGCGATCAGAGCTGCCAAGGTGCTCCTGCCTGGTGCTCCAGGGGCACAGAAGGACACCTGCACCCTCCTGCCGTTGATGGTCACCCCGTCCATGGCCCCTCGCACGCTCTCCGCCTGCTCCGCGCTCTCGTACTCCACCACGGCAAAGTCCCCGCTGCCGCCGTCCTCGTCCTGGGCAAACTGCAACGGCAACAGCTCCAGAGCCCCGTGGAAATTGGGAATTCCAATGGCAACAACAGCTCCAGAGCCCCATGGAAAATAAATGGGAATTGCAGCAACAACAGCTCCAGAGCCCGTGGGAAATGGGAATTCCAACAGCAACAACAGCTCCAGAGCCCCGTGGAGAATGGGAATTGCAGCAACAACAGCTCCAGAGCCCCGTGGGAAATGGGAATTCCAATGGCAACAGTGCCAGAGCCCGTGGGAAATGGGAATTCCAACAGCAACAACAGCTCCAGAGCCCCATGGAAAATAAATGGGAATTGCAGCAATAACAGCTCCAGAGCCCCATGGAAAATAAATGGGAATTCCAACAGCAACAGCTCCAGAGCCCCATGGGAAATAAATGGGAATTGCAGCAACAACAGCTCCAGAGCCCCATGGAAAATGGGAATTCCAATGGCAACAGTGCCAGAGCCCCGTGGGAAACGGGAATTCCAGCAACAACAACAGCTCTCAGAGCCCCATGGGAAATGGGAATTCCAGCAACAACAGCTCCCAAAGTCCCGTGGGAAATGGGAATTCCAATGGTAACAGTGCCAGAGCCCCATGGAAATGGGAATTCCAATCGCAACAGCTCCAGAGCCCCATGGAAAATGGGAATTGCAGCAACAACAGCTCCAGAGCCCCGCGGGAAATGGGAATTCCAACAGCAACAGCTCCCAGAGCCCCGTGGGAAACGGGAATTCCAACAGCAACAACAGCTCCCAGAGCCCCGTGGGAAATGGGAATTCCAGCAACAACAACAGCTCTCAGAGCCCTGTGGGAAATGGGAATTCCAATGGCAACAGCTCCAGAGCCCCGTGGAAATGGGAATTCCAATGGCAACAGCTCTCAGAGCCCTGTGGTAAATGGGAAATCCAACAGCAACAGCTCCCAGAGCCCCACAGGAAATGGGAATTCCAATGGCAACAACAGCTCCAGAGCCCGTGGGAAATGGGAATTACAACGGCAACAGCTCCAGAGCCCCGCAGGAAATGGGAATTCCAACGGCAACAGCTCTCAGAGCCCCGTGGGAAATAAATGGGAATTGCAGCAACAACAGCTCCAGAGCCCCATGGAAAACGGGAATTCCAGCAACAACAGTTGCCAGCACTCCATGGGTAACTGGCAATTCCAGTTAATAACTGCAATATTGTCACTGCCCCTCTCCAGATCCTGCACAGCTGACACAACCAAGGTTAGTATTTCCCACCAAACCTTTCCCCACAAAGGTTCTTTCCCAAAATGCTGGAAATAAGTTGGATATCACACCTTCATCTCTTTGGCATTCAGCTCACAGACTCATGGTTATCTCTCCATGGTCACTTGCTCATTCCTTCCATTATTTCTTCCATTCCCACCTCCACTTCCATCCCACCTCACACATTTAACACATATTTGAACAACAAAGCAGCAACGAGAACCAAACTGTAAATACAGCTGGATGCTACAACCAGTTTTATTTTGGAGGATAATTATAAACTCATTCTTCTTCATCTTTTTCAGCCTGCAATATTCAAAGTGTCATTCATCAGGGAGCATGACAGCTGCTGAAACATGCAACAATGCAAATTCCACCAGGATCTGGTGCCTTTTGGGAGCATATGAAGGCTGTGGTTGTGGGGAATGCCAAGAGAAGATGCCAGACTGATCAATCAAGCAGACTGGAAAAGGGCTTACGTGGCAAACACTGCTCTGGCCTTTGTGTGCAGACTTTGGGAGAGAATGAGCAGATTTAAATCAAACAAAAAAACAGGCTGAGAAGGGAGGGATGAAGCTTAAGCAAAAATCTCCAGTCCCCAAATGAATGGGAGTGATAAACTGATACCAGCTCTGGTGTGGAAGAGACAAAACTCCTCCAGATTGCACTGCATAAAAACAACGTCAGCCCCACAAACTTCCCTGACAAGTGAAATATAAATGTCAAAGATCTGGAAGAAAAAGAGGGTGGTCAGATCTTTAATGGCACTGGCCTCTGGGCAGAGCTCTGGAGAACACAAACTTCATACATAAGTACATTTTATATTTATATTTTATTTTGATACCAGTTTAGGTGCACTGGCAAAGACCTGAGGTACTTGTGAAAAGAAGGGTTTGAAGCTATGGAAGATCTGTATTTTAGTTTCAGCTAAAATTAAACACAATTAAAAACTCCCTTAAGTGCAGCTACCAATAGTCTTGCAAAGGATTCAGGAATTTTTCAACTTCTCAAGTAAACAGGTACTGAAAAAAACCCTCTTTATTCCTATCCAGATAAGGGTGGAGACCTTTTAGTGACAATTTAAAGTTGACAGAAGAAAAGAATGAGCTTTTCTGTTCCATTTTGTTGAAGCAAAGGACAAAACATATATTTCCTAATGCCCATATGCAAGTATTTAGCTTCAGCTCCTCCTGACAGAACATTTCTGTTGTCAATAGAGGAGAAATCAAAATTATTTAAAAAAAAAAAAAAAAAAAAGTAATTTAGGAATAAGATTAAGTAACCCAGAGTTTATTTCATGAATTCAGGTAAGAATTTTGGGTAAAGGATTGTATCTGCGTGATGAAATACTGCATGAGCTCCCAGCAGAACTAAGCCATGGCAGCACCACAAGACCTGCATTAAAATTTTCCAGAAAAAAAAACCACTTTTCTCAGTCATTCTCTATAGAAATTCCCCCCAAACTGAGGTTTCTGCTTCCCTGTCCTCTCTCAGTTTTTCTGTTTCTACCCACCCTATCACATCCCTCCTCTTTGCTTTTTCCACGTTTTCTTGGGTCTTCCTCCTCCTTTCCTCAATTTTCAGGTTGTCTCACTCATAAACCCATAATTAATTTGTATCCATTTTCTTCCCTCTTCCCCTATCAAATCTGAACTATTTGTTTCCCTACCTCCACCCTCCTGTATTTTATAGGAGCAGGAATATTTACTGACCTAATTCAGACACTCTCCTCACCCACACCAAGTATTACCCAAGATTTAATATGATTTAAAAAGTCAATTTTTGAGTGCTTCTAACTGCACAGCAGAGCTCTGTCAGTGAAACCCATCTTTCCCCAAGAAGTCTGTTATTCTTTGAAGCTCAGAATTTTTAAAGGATGGTGAAAAATTGTTGGGGGAGCTGATAACAGCCCCCAGATTATTTGACAGCTGGGAAAAAAAAAAAGCCCTGAAGGAAAAGACTTAAATGGATCAATCTGTTGAGCTAATTAAACAAAGATTGAGCAGGAGACTTGAGTCCAGCATTTAATACCTTCTTACAGGAAGAAAATAATGGAGAGCAAATGCTCCTTAATTTAGGCATCAGTGAGGTGAGGCTGAAGCCAGACACATTGCCCAGGCTCGAGATCAAAAGAGGCAGGAATGGGCATTTTCTGGGAAGAGCTAATTCCAGTTTATTCATCTCCTGGTGGATCTGGATCAAGCAAGTCTAAGGATTTCCTCTGGGCAGTTACAGATTGCTGGGGCTGGAAAAAGAGCCCTAAGGAGGGGGGAAGGCTTGCAGGTGGTCAGGCTGCAGATCCTCATGGACCTTCTGCTCCCCGTGCTGGGAATCTCCGGGTGCTCATCCCTGGGGCTGATCCCTGAGCAGCCTTCCAAGAGACTTAAGGGGAAAAAAAACAACAAAAAAACCAACCTGCAACTGAAATCTGTGGGACTACAAGGAAAGATTTTCTTCTGCTGCTTGTTTATGGTGATCTATCTGTGCCACATTGATTTGTGGTCTCCTCTCACAAGCCACGAGGATGAGAAGGAAACCTCTGCACTAAAAAGGCAAGGATCCAACTCTTCTGTGCTTCCCAGCTTTCCAAAAGATGTGTCACTCCTATCCCTGGCAATAGCCAAGAACCCAAGCCTTCCTCAGTTAGGGAAAAACATGTTAAATATTTATATATTAATTACATGATGTATTTTACATCATCTGAACTGTTGCACTTGTGCTATTCATACACTCTGGTTCTCTTGGAGCAATAAAACCTTCAGCAATGTTTACTTTAAAAGCTCTCAAAACCCAAATTATTTTAAGTAATGATACAAGGGGACATAAGTATGACATAAGGGGATGCCTTCCAAATATTTTGTTGGCATTTCACTGGAGTGGTGTCCTGCAGAATTCCCAGAAACACAGATCACACTGCACACCCAGAGCAGTTCAGCATCACTCCTGAGTGATATCCTGCAGAATTCCCAGACAACAGGGATCACACTGCACACCCAGAGCAGTTCAGCATCACTGCTCCCATCACTGTGCAGATGGCACAACAGTTGATAGGAAAAATAATAGGAAAATAAAATAAATAAGAAAAATAGGAAAAAGGAAAAATAAAAGTGGAGGACAGCAAGAGTGAAGTGAGGCAGTGCTGCAACCCCAGCCTTGGTTTCCTTAAGGCAGAAACCCAACATACCTGGCAGAACACAGGTTTGTACTTCAGGGAGAAAGCCTGGAGCAGCTCTTTCGAATCAGCGCAGTCTTTTTGTAATTTATCCACACAAAGGCACTTGGAGTGAATGAGGTTTGTGGTCAGCTGGTTCACATCCATCCACTGTGCAAACAGAGTGCTCTCCTCCAGCTGCTTGCCCAGGAGCTCCAGCCTGGCCTTGGCAGCAGAGTCCTTCTTCATGTACTCCACGAATCCGTAGCCCTTGGAATGGCCGGTGAGCTCGCTGTAGACCAGGAAACACCTCTCCACGTTGCCATAGGCACGCACCAGTTCCTCAAACTCCTCTATCCTGAGGGAAAGGGGCAGGTTGGTGATGCACAGCAGAGCATCCGTGGGCTGCAGCTGCACGGAGATCTCCTTCCCTCGCAGGCAGTGCTGGTGGAACCTCCTGATGGCGCTCTGGGCCTGCTCCCCGTTTAACAGGGTGACAAAGGCTGCAAGAGAGCAGGAGTGGGGACATCAGCTACCCCAGCTGGGCTGCAGCCACACCTCTCCCTCCCCCTGAAACCACAGTGAGAGCTGCAGATTCACCCCAAAGACCCAAGAGATAAATATATCTATTATATGTAATACCTAAAATCTCAACTGAACATCACCAGCAATTAACTCAGAAAGTGACTACGCTGTGATGCACACAACTTCACTCCTTGGAACCCAAGCAGATTTTGTATCTGGGGAACAAAATTAAATATTCTACTAGCAGACTGTCCTTTACTAAATTCAGTATTCCAGTGAAGTCCACACATCACAGATTCTATGGAATCTCTTTGATGACAACATCCACAAGTTCCCACTTTGGGGTTAACAGATCTTTTTTTGGCTTTTCAGTGCATAAGGCCTTTCACACAATCCCAAACCAAATGAGGGTGGCTGGGACCTCCTGCTCCTCAAGCAGGATCACCCAGACGGGTTCCCAGGATCCCAAGGGATGGAGATGCCTCTGGACAACCTACAACAGTGCTGGGTGACCCTCAGAGGGCAGAGGTGTTTCCTGATGCGAGCAAACTGCAAATGCATCTGGAGCTGGGCAGGTTTTCCTCTCAGGCACATGTGGTTTGTCCCAAGAGAGGCCTCAGGGCCAGTTTTCCAAAGGAATTCAGCCAGCTGAGGTCAGCTTTGTCCCAGAGGGACACTCTCTGAGGAATGCTCCTGAGAGAGACCAGAGGGGACCAAAAATCTTCTGATCAACACCAAAAGTTTCCAACTTTCACTGGGTTCAGTACAAGGTGACAAAAAAGGCACTGAGGGATGCCAGACTAGCTGTGACAGTCCAGGACTTCACACACAGCACATGATGTTCTTCACAGAATTGAAATATATGGAAGTTTGAAGTTCTCACCTGTTCTTTTATTCCTGTCCACATAACAGTACTTGATTTCATAATCTTTAAACAAGTCGTGGATTTCCTGCAAGGGTAAAGTACAAATAACATCACATAAATAAGTCCCCAAACCAAGCAATTGGATAAATTCATCCTCATTTCAAACAAAACCAAAAACTTTCCCAACAAACAGAAAATTTCACCATAGAAACACTGTCAAATATTTGTTTTTAAAGGAGTTGGTTACACATTGCTGCAGCAATGTTTTAATCTCACACAAAAAACTGGCTTGCAGAATTTGATTAATTTGCTTTTCATTCTCTGGGGTGACATAAACACAAAAGGGCATCCTGTAAGTGTCTTTTGATAAAGACAAATAACATCACAGCTCATTAAATAGCAAAACCCTCTCCATGTCTCTAAAGTTCAACTGGCAGAGCTAAAATACCACACGGGCAAGGAACAGTGGCAACATCACATCACCAAATAGGGCACAATGTTGCCTCAAAACCCAACAGTTGCTTTAGTTTCCTGCTCAAGTTCACTTTAATAGATTTCACCCTTAATAATGGATATTCTTTCACCCAGCAGATAACTGTGGCCAGAGTACCCCCTGGAAAGTATCCTCTATCAATTACTGCACAGCTGCTCAACAGAGAATCAATCCCAAGAGTGTTATTTGCTCCCACTAATTAATGGGAACAGAGGAGGGATGGGTAAGAGCAAGTCTTAGAGGAGTTTGCTACAGCTACTTCCAAAAAACTAAGGTGCACATCCCCCAAAAACCCCACAAATTATTGCCAGTTCAGTGGTGGGAAAGCAGAGTTGAGCATTCACCACCCCAAGGAAAAAACAGGAGTAATAACCTGGATATTTACATTATTTTAGCTGGATAAATCCCATACACAAGAGTGCAAGATGATTTCTGCAAGCAAAATAATCAACCAGCTTTGTCTGAAAGTTTAATTGCAGCTGATTTCCAGCAGCTAAGTGTAGCTGCCAGCTTGGTAATTCAATATATGGAGCCTAAAGGTTAATTGGGCTCTCTGTGAGGGATATCAGGTGCACACCTTTTAGTCAAGAGAGCACCAATCTCTGGTTTCACTATTTAACAGCTGTCAAATACTGCATTAATAAAAGATGGCAGCATTTCTCCAGCCACCACCCGTCCTCGAATAAGGTGTGATAAGGATGGGGTTTCTGAAATGCAAGATATGCCCAAAATTCAAGCCAGGTAGGGGATTTGAGTGTGGACACCTCTCAAACAAGAATGAGATTATTCTTTCTCAGACATAAGAGACTGAGAAGACACTTTCTGTCCAGTTTTGGCAGCTCTGTTGTGCTGTGTCAGTGAAGACTCCAAAAAATTGTTTCTGTCCCACTCAGAAAAAGAGGGACATATTTGCCCTTTTGATTTCCTGTATTATTTCACAAGAGTAACACTGAAAGTTTTATATGACGATTAGGTAGCAGGAAATAGGATTTCAAACAGCTCTGAACGCTCTTTTGAAAGTCATCTGTGTATCAGATGATTCCACATGATTCCCCAGTAACTGCCTGAAACTTTGAGAGGAAAACCAGCCCCTACTTATTGGGGGATAATTATGATATCTCATATAAAAAATGACGATAATATAAGGGAGATTTAAAATAAAGCCTGATTTAAGGGCAGAAATCCAGTAAGGATTTTAACACCAACTCCCACAGGTGGCTGCAAACACTGCCAGGTTTGTGGAAAGGATTCTTCCAGAAGGTTCTGATTCTTGTGCTCTCATGGGCTCTTGGCAGGGCTGAGACCTTCACCTGTGGAACTGGGGTTGGGCAGTGTTTCAGTGAAAGCATTTCTCACATAAACACCGTTCGTGAGGATTTACAAAGATAAAACACGCCCTGCCAGCTGCAGGGAAATGTGTCCTCCTTTCAGTTAAACAGCTGTAAATATCTGTGTGTTACACTGAGATTTCTCCTCTTGCTAAGCCAGGCATTTCTCTAAACTTCACCTCCAACATCTCCCAGCACTCAGGTCTGGTGGAAAAGAAGGAACAGAGCTCCCATTGTGATGTTGTTCCCAGTTTCACTCCCCACAGCTCAGGGCAGAAGTGTCAGGAAAGCAATGGGAACGACAGCTCTGATCCCTGCGCTCCAAGCAGCTCTCCAGGACTGGGCCAGGAGGGAATGTTTGCTCTGGAGGAGAAGGGGGTCAGCCAAGTCAGGTAGATGCTCTGCTGCGACCCCGTTAACTCGTGAGGAATGTAAGCACAGGGATGTTTCCGTGAGAATGGCAGAAACAAACAGCAGCCGCCTGTTCCCACTGCCGCAGCTCGTTCCTGTTGAGGTGGGTGGTTTGGATTGTCATTCAGTCCTAGGAGTCAGTTTTATAACCCCCCCATTTTGTATTGCTATGGCATAGTTTATTCTCAATGGATTGTTCTTTTCCCCCTGTATTGTTAGTTTTGCCCTAATTGCCATCTCCATCTTTCGTTCCCTGCTCCTCCTCCCACTGAACGTCACTCCCTTCCCATGCCTGCCCCTTTCTCTAGAAACTTCCCTCTCAATTTTGTATCCTTTGAGGCCCCATTGGTCTGTTTAAGTTGTTCTCCTGCCCTGTAATCCCCTACTGGTTCAAACATTGTATTCCCCACCTCATGTTCCTCCCTAGGTGTCTCCTAATTGGTTACAGATTGTACCTGCCCCATATATAAGTTGATGTGTGCCTTTGTTGGGTGTGCTTCTGTCCCTGACCCTCCTGGGAATAAACACCTCTGGAAAACACACAGGAGACCTCTCCTGCACCCCAGCCCTGGAGAGAGGGAGCAAACCCTGAGCACGGCCCTCAAATCCAGCTGGAGTAGAGCAGGAGTAAACTCAGAGTGGTGCCACACCAGCCCAGGTGCCACCGTCCTGTCCGTGCTCCAACATCCGCATCCCAACATGGTGCTGACAAAACTGCTCCTCCTAAAGGGCTTCTTCCTCTTGAATAAATCAATTAATCTGCTGAGCTACAAAGAGTGACTGACAACTCCCACAGTAATCTTCATTTAACTGCATCCTATTAAACACCTTATAAACAACAGCAATGTTTACCAACATGCTGAAGGCTTGAGTGTCACACATTGGACAAAGCAGATTTTGACAACAAAAATGTTAAGCAGCTCTATCTGGTCCCTTCCAACCCAAACCATTCCAGGATTTTTTGCTCCTGGAACAGAAATATAACCAATAAAGCATAGCTACTCTACAGCCCCTCAAAGCTTTAAAAGCAGATAATCTTGTAATCAATACAAATTAAAGCTGTAATTAAGAAATAATCGGTCATACCTGAAAATTAGCAGAAAAAGCAAAATCAAATCTAATAAAGGGAATTGAAGAGAAATCACTCTTTATCCTTTAAAAAGGTGTATTATTTACTACTGTAAATGTGGTCGTGAAATACTTCCGTTCTTGCCCTGTCCTCTCTTGGGTAGGAAAACTGGCAACTTTAATTTTCAGCACATATTATCAGTTTGAGACTTGCACCTCTGAGACAGAAAGAATTCCTTAGAGAGGATCTTCGTGTTTAGTACCTGCACTGTTTTAAACACAAATTAGAATAGGACTCATTCACAGGCACATGTATCAAATTAGTAAAGCTCAGTAGTTTATTTCTAACAAAAGCAGCTTTTCCTACCCAGACTCTCACAATGCAAAGGAAAAAAATATCCAAGAAATTCTCAGTACTCACCTGGAACAATACAGGAGATATATATAATAATGTATATAAAGCCTACAGCACACCAAACTCAAGCACTGCTCCCTCACTGGATGTAAAACTAGACTTGATATTCAATGTAATAATTGTGCTATTCTGGCAACAGAATATTTAACAATTCTAAGGATGCCTGGCCAGATGTCTGCAGTGAGCTTTAGGGAAGTCTCCAATATAAACACTCTGCAAGCCTGGTCTGTAACTTGGCTCTCACTGAGCAGCTGAAGGCCTGAACTTCACATGAATATCCCTGAAATGGAAATCAATTAAATTTAAAGTAGTTACTTGGCCAAGCAAGAAGTTTTAAATCATCTCACAGCTGAAAAAGGCTTTGTTCTATTTGTGCAGGCAGGACAGGAAAAAGAGAACTTCTCAGAAAAAAGCTTTGCATTTACAAAATGATATAACGGGGTGTTCATTTGATTCAGATTTTAGACTGCTAAATATGTGACATGACACATGGATTTCACTGCAGATAGTAAATAAAAAAGTAGTAAAAAAGAGAATATTGACACAGTTTAAATAATATGTTACTAAGGGAAAAACCCAGAGCTCTGCTGGAGAGCAAGTGCAGCACTCAGCACCAACAAGGGGGTTAATAAAAAAATAAAAGAAACTGATGCAAAATGCAATTTTACCCATCTCCTGATCAGAGAGGTAGGAGGGCCTCAAAATTTCATTGATTGCTGGATAATCCCCCTAAGAAGTACCATTTCAGGCAGATGGGCTCACCACACCTCTTCCTTCCCAGTTTCCACCTGGTTTTCAGTGCTGAGTTAGTTCTCAGAGGAGCAAAGCTGGAGGATCAGGGTGAGACGTGGCAGATGTTGACCTGTCAGGAGCAGCGGGTACTGAGGTGTGTCCCAAAGCTCCTGCTCAGCTCATTCCCTCTTCATTTCCACAATCCCAAACTAGGAAACCTGAAAGGGATTCTAGCCTGTCATTCCAGGCCATAAACCGCTTTTGGGGCAATCCTTTGTGTTTGGGAATTGATTCTCACTTTTGTAAGAGTCAGAGCACCCAAAGATCTTTAGTGACCACACCTTATTTGAGGACATGTGGTGGCTGGAGAAATGCTGCCATATTTCATTCATGCAGAATTTGACAGCTGATAAATGTAAGTAATGGAAGAAAATGTGAAGACAGGAAAACAACAAATTCTCAGTGGAATGAAAATTTTTTTCCTCTGATCTTCCAGAGACTTTTGGGAGTGTTGGTAGGAGGATCTTTATGGGACTGGAAATCAATTCCACCATCCTGTGTATACTGGGTGGTGTGAGAGCTAAATGAAAGAGGGAAAAGACATAGAAAAAGGTAACTCGAGAGAGCAAGAGCTCAAAGCAAAATAAAAGTAATGAAGAAAAATTTTTAAATGTCCATCCTAAGGCATGAGAGCTACCCCCTCTTGACAATGTGCCTTTCATGTTCAGGCAGTGTGACAGAGGAGGAATGAAAACACAAAGGCCCTTCTACTTAAAGGTCTGGCATCCAACAGATTGGAGAGAGCACTTCCTCAAATCATCACACCTCATTAGGGGTTTTCCATCTATCAAGGAAAATTATGGCTAATCCAGGGAGAAAGGGGGAAAAATGCCACAACCCCACCAGAAACAGCACCACAATAAGTAGGGATTTGGCTTTTGATCAGGAATAGACAGCAAAGAAAAAACTGAATGAGTCCATCAGGTTCCAAAATACCAAATAAATCCCTGCACCAGGTTTGGATCAACACCTCAGTGTTTCATTGTTCTCTGGATTCTGCCCCTCCCCAGGAGAACCACAGGGTGTTAAAATAATTAACAAGCCCTACTTTGCTGTATGTCCTACATTAAAGTGTCCCCTCTACCAGGTTTATTTTGTGGAACTGTGACATGGTGGCATTTAGGGATAATCAACCCAAAAATGGTTTGGAGCGAGTGCATTTTCCACAGCATCTTCTCTGATCTGCAAAAAGGGGAAGCAAAAAGCCAACAGCCCTTGCTGGGCAGCTGATCTTGGCACAAAACACTGGAGACTTGGCTACAAATCTCAGTAATGATGAGCAAAAAAAAAAAAATAACCCAAGGTTAATCTTCCCAGCAGGAACTCCATGGGACAGGAACTCGTATCCCAGATCAGAGTCTGCTGATGGTGTCCCAGTGATGCCCCTATGGAAGTTCATCAGCCATAAATAAGGAGCCACTAACAGTGAAAAAACAACAAATTGGGGGAAACCAAAACCAATTCTTCTAATCCATTGGGGTAACTACAGAAAAAAGGGAAAAGAAACAGAAGCTGACACAATTTTCCTGGTTTGGGATGAGACAGAATTAATTCTGTTCTTACTGGTTCAGTGCTGTGTTTGCCTTTAGGATGAGACTGATGTTGATACCACAGGGATGTTTCAGTAGTTGCTCTGAGGTGAGGATTTGCCAGTTTCCCATGCACAGGTGCATGGAATGGCAGGAGGGAGCAGAGCCAGGACAGCCAAAGGGATGCTCCTCACCAAGGAATGCCATGCCCAGTACATAAACTGGGAGCAGCTGGCATCAGTCAGTGGGTGCTGAGCAACTCTACTGGGCATCACTTGTTTCTCTCGGCTTTAATTCCTTATTACAATTAACATTTGTTTTATTAGTCTTGTATTAATTTTAGATATGTTTTACTTTGCTTCAATAATTAAACTGTTCTTAGCTCCCAAGCTTTGCTTTTGCCCTGATTCTCCTCAGCATCAGAGCAGTGAAGAAGTGAAAAAGTGGCTGCGTGGTGCTTATTTGCTGGCTGGGATAAAACCAATACAAGCTCAAAATAAAACTTCCTGTTCAGTGAGGTACAACTTCACTTCCATTCCGGTCATCCTGAAGTTCTTGGCATCTCTTTAGCAGAAAAGGAGAAGAAGGTGGTATTTCCTTCCCTCCCTCTGCTCAGAGCAATCCTCCTCCTCCAGAGCACTGGGAACAATTTAAGGATTGCTCCAAGGACCTTCTGGTTGCAATTTTTGCTCTTACAACACCCCAGGGGACGGCGTTCCCAGCTGCTGGAATGGATGATGGATCAGGGATGTGGCTCAGGGAGATGCACACACAACAAGGCAACCCAAGAGATCCCTGATCCACTGCCAAGCGGATCACGATGAAAGCAATCACCACAACCACGCTCACTTTTAAGTCTCTTGGCAAAGACTGCTCCTGCAAACACCAGCCTGACCACAGCACCACATCAGAGGCTGGTAATGCTACAAGAACAGATCTGCTGCCCTTCAAAAGGACTGACACCCAGGGGATGATCTTACTGCACAACATCCCACATCCCTGCCCTAATGCAGACATTAGCTGACTGCTCTAAGAGCACAGGACGCTTCCCCACTCTGGCACCAAGAACTGGAACTGCAGGAGTGGGATCTGCCAAGGCTCCGGAGCAGAGTGGATCTCTGCTCCAAGCACGTATCCCAGGGAAGCTCAGGGAAGCTTCTTGTGATCCTGCTCCAGCCCCAGTACTGAATTCTGCCTTTAAGGCACAGTCACTGCTACAGACAGCAAAGATCTGAAGATTTACAGAGGCCAGCAAGAGCCTGTGGCTGTCTCTAGGTCATTATCACACCACACATTTGGTATTTGGTATTATTGGTCATTATCACACCACACACATGTTTGGTATTTGGTATTATTGATCATTATCACACCACACATTTGGTATTTGGTATTATTGGTCATTATCACACCACACATTTTGTATTTGGTATTGGTATTTGGAGGGATCTGATGAGGATGAATTTGGGGAACTACCTGGCAACTCTGGAAGAGTTCAACATCCACTGATCTGCCAGCTGAACAGTAAATAGAGACTCTGCCTTCAAGAACAGGGAAGATGTAAATTGTTTACTACAGATCTGCCACAAAAAAAAAAAAAATCATTTCTCCATGGCTGTAGTGAGAGAATTGCCTGAAGAAACACTGATCCTGCAGGCATCTATTTGTAGGGTGAGCTCTGTTTGGTTTCTAAACCTGTTTCTGGTTCAGAAACCTCGTGGCCAAGGGACATTTCTTCTGTGACCTCAAGGGTTATTATTTTTTTTTTAAATTTAGTTTAACACAGGTGGGGCTCCAAAGGTAATTGAAGATTACAAGTACAATAACAAAGTTAATATGTAGCTACAACTGGCAGAGGAATTATATTCGTTATGTAAGTTCATATTAATAAATTTTTCCTGTTTTTCTGACAAAACTGAGTATCTCCACCAATCTCTCTATCAGCAAAACAGTCATTTTTCACTTCAAAACTATTTTGGTAAATCTTGGCCTCACTCTTCACTTAACAACAAACGGCAGCAAAGCCAACACCCCAACGCTTAGAGATGAATAGTTACATTTATGAAAACCTATTTTGGAAGACTTGGCTGCATTTCAGTGATGTTCATCTCCCTCTTGACAGTGAATAAAACTGGCCAGGTCAGAAACAGTTTATCTGATTTTACTTGGCTTGCCAATTATTGCAAGGAGAAAACAGAAGACAAACCAGTGTTTACCACGGCGTTAACTGGCAACAAGAAATGTTAAATTTCATTGTAATTTTGGAAGCATATCACAGCCAAATACACAGGTAGATTTAACATGCCTGACCACAAACACACTTCTTTCCAAAACTGCTCCAGGACAGAAACTTTCTCTCTATAGCACAATTTTTTTGCCTTTGTTGCCACCACCAGCAGCTCATCAGTGTTAAAAATAAAAATGACAGTTTGTAAAGTGCATTTTAGGATCTGTACATGGTGTTCAGGGCAACATTAGAACCTGACACATAGGAGAAAAAGGCATCTAAGCGCTGCTTGTAAGCCATCAAAACAAAAAGGCAAACTTCCAGAAGACTCCGTGGCTGCCAAACTTCACCTTAACGCTGCTGTTTCCCTGGAGCACACAGCGGCTGAGCAAGCAACGCCAAAGCTGCAAGGTTCCACAGAGGTGAACTCCCAAAGGGGAGCTCATGAAAAGCCTGCAGTGGGGACAAGGGACACACCCGGAGTGTCAGAGAGTGCTCCTGTCCTGGCCATCACACGAGCATCTGGTGACACGCCAGCAAAGCCCTCTCTGTCAACACAGCCGCTTCATCAAGAGACGAAGATTAGCAGCGTTCACCAAGCTGCGAGTTCGCTATAGATCACGCTGCTATAAACAGAGGTGCCTAAAGCACCCTAACAAAGCTGTCAGCTCTAAACTTTTAACCTGCTAGAGCAGGGCCAGACACACCGAGAGAGAACAAACCAGCCAGAAGTGCAGCGGCCAGCTGGGCGCTGCGGCTCGGATTACTGCGAGCGCCGAAAGAGCCTCTCCAAAATGAATAGTCCCCTTTTTGTGCCGGAGTTATGCAGAAATTGAGAGTCTGCACGTGTTGCTCTTACCCGCAGGTAGTAAAACAACCTGTGCTTCAGGGAGGGGGGAGGCAGACCAGGAGCAGAGCAGAACAAAAGGCGCAGTTGCTTTCTTTTTTATTTTTTAATTAATACTCGTGCATCAAGTTATGCGCTTGGAGCCGGTGAAGTGACTGTGCAGCTAAAATCACCTCAGCATCTGACTCACAGCACTCGGCTGAAGAGTTCATCGATCATCTTCTACCAACAGCAACAATTTGAGCGGAATTTTCCTAAACCACCGTCAGACTGCGGAAAACCGCTTTCCCCCTCTGCGTCTGGCTCACCTCACAATACAAATGAAAAAAAAAAAAAAAAAGAAAAGCGAGTGTGGAAGCTTTTCCGCCCAGATTTCGCAGCGAAGGCGGCCGTGCTGCAGTGCCCTACCTGTGCGCTCGCAGGTGCCGCTCCCCCGGCGGCGCTCCCGTTACCCGCCCGCACCGAGCCCCGCTCGCTCCCTCACGCCCCGGGCCGCGACCCCGGCGCTCCCCGGGGAGCGCAGCCCGGCGTGGCCCCCGGTGAGGGCGGGGACCCGCTCTCCGCAGGTAACAAAGCCGCCAGCACAGCCGGCGCCCTGAGGGGCAGCTCTGCGGGCAGGCAGCGCCCGCGGCCGCGGAGCCCCGCGGGGGAGCCGGGGCTGCTCCGCGCCTCCCTCCCCGCTGCCGGCCGCCGCCTGAGGCGCGGGCGGGAGCGCGCCACGCCGCCGGGCGGCTGCGGGCAACGCGGGCGGCCGTACCTGGCTGCTGCTCTCGGCCGGCAGGTTCCGCAGCAGGATCTTGCGGCGGTTGCCCAGCTCGCGGCGGGTGCTCGCCAGCCGCCTGGCCACCTCCTCGGCGCTCAGCGGCGGCGGCTCCGCGGGCAGCGCCGCGCCGCTCTCGGCTCCCGCCGCCATCTTGCAGCGCGCCGGGGAGCGCGGGGGGAGCGCGGCGCTGGGGCCGCCCCCGCCCTGCCCCGCCCGGGGCAGCCTGAGGGAGCCCCCGGGCCCGGCCCCTCACGGAGCGCCGCGGGTGTGCGGGTCGGGCTCTGGGGGTGTGCGGGATGGACGGGAACGCAGCGGCGGTTTCACAGAACGGCCCCGAGCTCTCTGCTCGGGCATGGTCATCCCACAGCACATGGCACGGGATTGTGTGCGGACGGGGCTGGAGTGTCCCCAGTGAGGAGACTCCAGAGCCTCTCTGGTCAATCAACCCGCACAGTGAAGAAACAAATTCTGCCTCATGCCTCGGGGAGCTGCCTGGTACGGGTTCTGCCCCTCTCTGCACCCAGGGCTGAGGCCCCTCTCACTGGGCTCCTCTCCAGGCTGAGCAGCCCCAGCTCCCTCAGCCTCTCCTGGGCACCGAGATGCTCCAGGCCCTTGCTCAGCTCCAGGAGCTCCTGTCCCTGCTGTGCTGAGGAGCCACAGATGGACACAGCACCCAGAGGTGCCCCCTCTGGGGCACGATCACCCCCGAGCTGCTGGATCTGTACCCAGGGAAGGTGGCAGTGATGGGGATTTGGGGAATGATTGCTGCTGGGTGAGGAAGAGGGATGGTGCCCTGGCCTTGTTTTCCATCAGGATGGATCCTGGGGCAATTCCCCTCACAACAGAGCTCCAGCTGTTCTCCAGGATCACCCCTGACCTGCTGGGAATGCTCCCATCCTCCTGACGGTTCCCCTGGGACACTCTGCTGGTTTAGGGACTGCTTGTTGTCCACCAGCACCCTCAGGCCCTTCTCACTTCATCCCCACAGTAACCCATCTCCAGACAGATTTTTGGGAAGGATTTGAGTGCTCTGGAGAAGAGTTGGGGCTCTGTTGTGAGGAGAATTGCCCCAGGATCCATCCTGATGGATGCCAAGGCCAGGGCACCGTCCCTCTTCCTCACCCAGCAGCAATCATTACCCAAATCTCCATCGCTGCCACCTTCCCTGGATACAGATCCACTGGGAAATTCTGAAATACAGAACAGCAACAAAATAAAGCTGATCCCACAGAATCAGTTAGGCTGGGAAAGTGGAAAATTAGTTTAGTGGGAAATTCTGAAATACAGAAGAGCAACAAAATAAAGCTGATCCCACAGAATCAGGCTGGGAAAGACCTCTGAGATCACCAAGTCCAACCTGTAATCCCAAGTGAACCCACAAATTCCACTGGAGATCAGCAGGCACAATGGCCCAGAGTGATCTTGTCCCAGTTTTATTCCTCGTCAGGAATGTGGCAAACTAATTAATAAAATCCATGCAAATGGGGAAAACAGCACCTGGCTCCTGCACTGGGAACACAGGGCTGTGACCTGCCACAAAAAGAAGCCCAGCATCACAACAGAAGGACAATATGTCAATGAATCACTATAAAATAAATTTCCCCTTCCATGAAGTTTCTGTCCATGAAAACATTTCACTCAGCACCCATTTTAAAAAATAAAACACATTGTTCTTTTGGAAAATCAATTTTTCCTCTAGCATAATTCCTTGCAATGTCATTTACAACACAGTAAATTTAGCTCTTAACGTTGTCATCATTGCTATAAATGAGTGAAGAATAATTTAAATATTTGTAGCCATTTTTAGACACGAGGCCAGCCACAAGGAACAAGCAAAAGAGAATCCAAACCTGAAGCATAAAGAGTCTGAAAAAGGAAATTGGAAGAAGAGTTGGAGTTAAATTAGGTGTATGTGACAATTCTTATCAAGAAAATCTAATTATGATGGATAATTCTTGACAAGGTTCAAGGTGCCATTTTAATTATCAGTTACAGATTAAAAACTCCACCAAAGAAATTATCTTAGAAATTGCTTTAGCCCAAACGAAAACAAGTTAGGAACACAAAGTATCTTGGACTTTCTTTACTTCTAAAATGAGTTTTAAAACTAAAGTAATCAGAGCAATTTTTGTTTTATTTAAAAATTGACAGCTGACAACATTCTGTTCAAGGGCTTCATTTTCCCTAATTTTTTCTCAAACAGGTAATGTTCCTCCTTTTGCAATATTTGCATTATTTTTAATAAATAAAATCATTGGAAATAAGAGGTGTGACAGGTTCATAGATGATGGGATGTAAATAATTCTGGGATCATGAAAAAGGGACACTTTTCTCCCAGGAATACTGAAACACAAAACATCTCCTCAAAAATGATCACCAGATCAAGCTATTACAGCAGAAATTATGGATCTGCTCAAACATCATAAAATGTAGTGATGGTAATAACAGAGTAATTAATTTTACCATTAATTTTCCAGTTTGAAGGTGGACACTGCTTCACCTGTAATCAGTGCTCATTAATTCTACCTACAGGAATTACCTCTTCAAAAATTGCCTTTTTTTGGTCATTTTTGATGGGCTGAATTTAAGTCCCTGAATTTAAGTCATTCAAATTTAAAGTGCACTGCTGAAAGAATTCAGAAATGAATTGTTTGGTATTAATGGCACAAACAAAATTCCTATAGCAAATAGTTCCAGAGAAACTCAAGAAAAGAGGAATAAATTCAGAGAAAATAGAAAATATCAGAGAAATATACTTTTTTTTTCTTAGGTTAGGGATAGATATTTACAGATATTTAAAATATTGTATTTTGTAGGTTTAAGTATTCACCTTTTCCCCCCAGTGTTCCTGTCTAGGTGATATCAGCCTCCCAAGAAAAGAGCTGTTCCAGGAGGAAAAGGATGCTGAGCTAAGACATGCAGGTATTTCCTTAAGGAATTTCCTCCTGTTGATTACAGTTTTTCATGAAATATTTATATGACTTTGACTCCTTTTCTGGAGCTTCCAAACCAAACCCTCCACGTTTATGCTTTGAATCAACTTAAAATACTTTCATTGGGTTTCAATACTGCTGCAGAAGCAAAAAAAAAATTATTAAATTAAATCTATTATTAAAAAATAGAATAGTCCAGTGTAACTTCAGTTGTGCTGCTGCCCTGATGCTGTCACACTGAATAAACCACCTTAATTTAATTTATTTCATTAAATTCCCTTCTAATTAAGAGTAATGTACCCAACCCCAGCAGTTGCATTTGTAGCTCTCCTAAAAAGATAAATTTCCCTGTGCTTCTGCAGCTTTGAAGTCACACCAGCCATATATATTTTATAATTTTTATGGAATGAGTGAATTAGAATTGTAATTCCAAACATTCTTTTGGCATTACAGGTAGGTGCAGTCAGGCAAAACTATCCAGGCTGGGCTGGTGGAAGGTGGAAGGACTGGAACGAAATAGGATTTAAGGTCCCTCCCAACACAAACCAGTCCAGGATTCTGGGATTTCCTGGGATTCTACATCCAGAGGTACAAACCAATTCAGATCTGTGCACATCAAGTGAAAGGCAAGACTGAGACCCACCTGATGTTCCCAGGTATTTGAGCTCTTCAGGGAAGTGATGGATTAATAAAAGAGAAATAAACAATTCACTGTTTCCTGCAGGGGGACGTGGGACCATCAGCTGCTGCACATTCCATCAGAATAATGGATTACCATCACACCTCATGTCAGCCACACAAACAAAGCCATTCCCTTTTGTCCCTGCTCTTCCTGCTGCTCATTTTGTTTCATTAAGACACTGAGATTTTGGATCCAAAAGTTGCAGATTTCATTTTCAACACCAATAATTCATTTGGTGATGATCACCCAGCTCACCTCACAATACACACTGCATCCAAAAAACACCAGAGGTGCCAAAAGGAGTTCCTTTATCCCTTTTTTCCCTACAAATTCCAATATTTTGGCATTCTCAGTGCACCATTCCATGACATGCCCAACCTCTTCCATCCAGGCACAAAAGGTCTCTGCCAAACATTCCAAGTGGAACCTGCTGCCTGTGAATTTGCTGCTCCTGAGTTTGGGGATGATGGATTCTATCAGGATCAGCCTGCTGAGCAGTTTCTCCTTGCTTCCACTCTTTAACTCAGTGGCCTGCAAATGAACAGTGAAAAGGTGGGAGAGTTCAGGGCTGTAACTTCCAGAGTGAGTAACTCCTGCAAGGAAATCGTTACTGGGCTCTGCTGTCACGGGCTATTTTGGGACCTGTGGTCTCTGCAACAGAATTTCAAACCTTTGTTACCCCATGCATCATTAGCAGATCTGTGTGGTTGTCTTTAAAGGCACAAAAAAAAAAAAAAAAAAAAAAAGTAGTAAATATTAAACACCACAAAGCAAAGCCAAGTTCTTGAATAATAACTGAGAACAAAGGAAAATGAGATCAAACAAATACAATTTTCAATAAATGGCCCAGATATTCACAGGGGAATCTCTGCAATACTTTCTCCTGAATCAATGCCCTGATTTAAATCACCATTCTTCACACACAGGCTTTCTTTTTCCTCATTCAGCTTCGAATTTGGTCATTAGTTATTGGAACCAAGTGCATTTTGGCAATTTTAGTATTAAAAAACATCCAAATGTTCCTTGGATTCCCAGCAAAAGAAGGTCCAGCCCCACATTCTTACCAGGAATATTTTTACTGGCCAGCCCATGAATGTGCTGCAAATGGGAATTCCAAATAAATCAGTCTCAGATTCCCTAAAAGCACCAATTTTCTAGGAACTGGAAACTGATAGTGACAATTCACAGGGAATTACAAAATCATTTCCCACCAAAAAAAAGGGGAAATCCTAATTCTGGGGGTGAAAGCATTCCATAGGGTGAATCCATACATGTCCATAGCTGCTCCTGGGATCTGGCTAATTGTAAACCTGGAAGAAAATTGCTGTGATTAACTGAGGAGCTGGGATGGACTGGGAGGGAGCAGGCATGGGACCAGCAATTTGTTTGGAGAAGATAAACCAGCCCATGATTTCTCCCTGCCAGCAGAACCTGCCATTTCCAGCATGCCCATAATATTTTGTCCTTAAAAACTTGTTACACACACAAAAAAAACTTGTTCAATATGGAAAACTGGCCTAAAGAAGGTAATGCAAGAGAAACATTCCCAAAAAATTTTATGAGGCTTTCAAATGTTCTGCTGCTCAGTTATAAAAGGTTTCCATAGGAACTGTCACCCAACGTGCTGTGCCTGATTTCTCCATGTTCAGAGTGAAAAAAATCCATCCCCTTCCTGTTTTCCAGGTTCCCTGGCTGAGGTTTTTTGCCTTGTTTATGGAGATTTTCTTGGCTCAGCTGCAATAGAAATAAATGATTAAGGAGGTTTTTATTATTATTTTGCAGCAATTAGATCATGTTAATTACTCAACCTTTAATCCTGCATGCGATTTGCACTAATTATGCCAAGAGAATGGATATTAGGAGCAATTTTGTGGAAGTGACAGAATGTTGGAGAAGTGAAAAGAAGGATATTAAACTCTCTGACTGCATTCCCAGTTTCCTGCTGCTGGTGCCAGCCCATCTCGGGGTGTCTGCCCAATTTCATTACCTCAGTGCAATGGAAGAGTCTTAAAATTGGAAAAATCCACCAGTGTTAGCCCAACTGGAAATCCCTGGCAGTCTGATGGTTCAACTGGATTTAAGGAAAGACCACCAGTTTTGTCAGGATCTTGCACAGTTTTTCCTGCAAAGTGGATTTTTTTTTTCCCACCTGTGAAAAGTGCTGACTTGGCAGTTTTGGGGCTGTTCCCTTTCTCCATGGAGCTGCTCCAGAGGCAGGTGAAGGTGGGTGGAAGGATTCCCTCTGCCCTGTGCCCTTGGCCAGCACATTCCCTTCCCTGCTGTCACTGCTGTTGTCCCAGAGAGGCAATCCCAGCAGAGGGCACTTGCTAGGGCACTGCTGACCTGCTGGATTTGCCAGTGCCAGCTCCAAAAACCTCCAGCAAACCAGAGCAAACCAGGATTGCTCCTTCCCAGGGCAGCTCCCAGCACGGAAACAAGCCCAGGGATCATTTTTTCCACAGGATTTAGAAGAGGCCGCTCAGATCTGAAGAAAACCTCCAGATTTAAGATGTGTTCTGCCTCTGCCATCACATTCCCACCCCTCTGCTCACAGCGTGGCTGTTCCATAGGGGTATCCGTGATCCCATGGGATCTTCTCCCGAGGAGGAACCAGCAGTGCTTCTGAGCAAGGGCTGGCACTCACCCCAGCTGTGTCTGGCACCTCACTGACGAGGCAGGGCTTGGAGAAGCTCATTCTTGGACTGCAGTGTCCAAATTCCACTGCAGCCTTGGCTCCAGGAACGCCAGCCCTTCTGGGCCAAGGTCCTTCCGTGCTCAGCGCAGAGCACAAAGCACAAAATCATCACCTCTCCTCAGCCCTAGGGCTGCCAGGCAGGAATATGAAATATTCCATGGCACTGATGTTCCTTTTTCCTTCTTAGGCTCCCTGGCAAAGGGGGGTTTGTACAGCAAAACAACCCAATGGTTCCCGAGTTAACTGCTGCAGGAATTAATATTCCAAACATCACTGACAGCCCAGAGCAGGCTCCTTTGAAAACCCCAGCCATAGCTGGGAATCTCTTTTACAAACAACTGAAATGGGCAGCCAAGAGCTGGGAAGGAACGCAGCAAATTCATCTTGGAACTCACCAACAGCCTTTTGGATTACCTGTGCTCTCTTGGATCCAGGACTTTTGCATCCTAGTTTTTTCTCCTTTTCCATATTTGCTGCCAGCTTACTCCCATAGTTCTTCCTCTGACAAATCCACTTTCTGTGCTCCTGCCCATTTCTGGGTCACTTGACAGAATAAAGCCTTTGAGAGATCTCCTTTGCCCAGTTATAGTCACAAGTGCTGCTGCATGTGAACGTCTCCTGAATTCCCATCCATCCTCCCTTCCCTGCCCTTGCCAAGGGCTAGGATAAAGATAATATTCCATGGCTTTGCAAATCCCACTTTTTGGCCAGGCAATAACATAAATAAATTAAAAAAAAAATCCTAATGCATTTTCAATCAATATATTCTGCCCATAGAAATGCTTCTCCATGATTCCTTGGATATAGGAAAATCCATACACCTGGCAGATCTCAAATACTCCAAGCATCGAGTCAATTTAAAATTCATGAACACAAATTAAAGGCAATGCTCGTTTTCACTTTAAAAGAACCTTTTTTGTTGTTGTTGGGAGAAGGAAAGAAAACCTACAGGAAATTACCACAACTAAGATGAGAAAATGAAATAAATGGAAAATGAATGGCCATAAAGTCTTATCAGCTCTAGGGAAGGAGGATCCAGGGTTTAACTGCTGCTTTTATGATCTTCAGTCAATAAAGTAAAACAATGCTGGGGAGGGAAGGCCACGGCAGAACTCAGGCAATAAAAGTGAAGAGCTCTCATGCAGCTCCTTATGAACCCCAATCACATCCATTATCAGCAGAGGATCCCATTTATTCCTGCTGGGACAAGGTCAGTGCCAGCACTGGGAGCTGGGATTTGGCACATCTGGAAATCAGAGTTTTCCCTGTAATTATTTTTCCCATCAAGAGCTCGGGCTCTTCCCATCACTCCAAGTTAAGCAGGGCTGTGCAGACCCCTCAAATCAAGAACCATTTGTTCAGAGCACACCAGGAAGAAGAAAAGAGATGCCAGAAGGGAAGAAGCAGCAGCAAGGAAAAGCTCTTGAAAAGATTTTAAAGCAAAAGCAAAATGGGTTTGATTGTTGGACTTCCAAGAGCTGTTCCAAGAGGTTCTGGAAGCTCCTGTGTTCTCAGCAGAGCTGCAAGAGACCCCTGCAAGCACCTTCTGCTGGCAGGGAAGGCGAGGAACCACCAAAAAACCTCTCCCCTGAAGTAATATTGTAGTTCAAGCTGATTACTTTTTCCAATGTACATGGCTATTAATGATATTTCTGATACATTTTACCAAAAATTATTTGTCCCACGGTATCCAAGCACCAGCATGACTTTGGGTTCCAAACTGGAAATGAATCCCAGCCTGGCTGATACCCAGGGAATCAGCTGCAGAGCTCTGAGAGCACAAAGCAGAGGCTCAGTGGCTTCCTGCACTGCCTGCTCAGCAAAAAGCCTCCACCAAATCCTGCACAAACACGGCACAACAGCAAATCCAGAGCCACTGAGGTTTCAGGAGAGAATCAGGAAAATAAAACCCATAAATTATTTGCTTTGGTGACTCTAAGCAGTGGCTGATCACTTCCAGAAATGGTCATTTCCCAAATAATGACTAACCAGCTAAAAAAAGGCTTTAAAACTTCCATCAATACTGTCATTTACATTTAAAGGTTAAATTTCTCAAGGCTGTTGATAAAACTGAAGGAAGTGGAGTGAATTTTCAGTCCTGTTCAGCCAGAGAAGGAAACTGAGGCAGAATCATTTCAGTGCAGCCACTTCTCCACAGATCTACACTTATATACAGTTTATTTCACTAGAGATTTTAATTTTATACATAGTATAAAGGGATATCCTGGTATCACACATAGAGTTATTTTACTGTACTGTTTAAGAACCAATTTTTTACATATTACAGTATTAAGTACCATATTAATTAAAACAAGTGATTTTTTTAAAAAAAAAACTACATATAAATGGATGTTTACCATATGCACAGTGCAAGAATGGCTTGATATTGTAATCACAAAATGTGAATCTAAAATACAACACTGTGATTGAAAACATATTGATAATTATGATGCCCTTTGTTGTAGACATTGATTAATCTTTGTTTGATTTACCAAGCAAGGTTAAAATTCCAGACAAACAGCAGCAGCTTCTCATTATGGTTCCAAGGTTTCTTCCACAGTAACCCAAGTTTTACAAAACACTGGTTTATCCCTACTCGTGGTCCAAGGAAACAGAAGAATGGCACAGATTCCATTTGGGATTATCTGGTAACTAATGCTAAAGAAATTTTTTATTACTTCCACACAGGAATCCTTTAAGGATGAGCGAAGAGATAAAGATGGAGGAGTTTCTGGGCAGATTCTGGGCAGAATTCTCTGAATTTTAGTAACGGAGTACAGGATTTCTCCTCTGCAGATAGGAAGACAATACTGGAATAGAAATCAGGCTGTAATATTTACAGGAAATGAGTGTGGAAAAGAAAGCAATCCTAATGTAAACACCGAGGCAGAGAGGGCTTCTTCATTTTCCCTTTGCAGAGTGGGGCACTGGATGAAGGTCAGCTCCCAAGGAACAGCTGTTTTCCTGGGAAGAGCCCCTTCCCCAGCACTGAATGCACGTGGTACTCGTTGAGAATCCCTAACAGGTCTTCTCCCCTCCCTCCCCTCAAAGTTCCAAGTTCAATAAATAGTAGAAAAATAATCCTTTACTTAAAAATCTTGAGATGCATTGTCCCAGGTCCTGCAGAGCACCGGGAGCTTTCCACCTGCAGAGAAGCCAGCAGCCTTCCTGCTCTGTCTGGCACTTCTGGGCTCTCCAGCTGCAGATTCCTGCTCTTCCAGTTAAGGAAACCAAATCCTCTCTGGCTCTTTAAGCTCTCTCTCTGCTCTTGGCTCAGCACAACAAACTCCAGCTGCTGGATAAACTCCCATCCCTGTTCCTGGAGGTCTTAACGTGCCTCCTGCTCCATTTTTCTCTATGTTTTGGCAGGTCCATTCATCAAGCACGTTTGCAGGCCAGAGCCAACCTTCCATTTGTAAAAACGCAAAGCTCTGATGCCTCAGTTTGGTGGGGAAGCCTGTGAGGTTGTCCCTGGGGAGCAGCACAGTCCCCATGGCTCTGGAGTGGCATCTGTGGTGTCCTCAGTGCACGGTGCCACAGCCTGCAGGTGGTGGCTGTGATGTCCCCAGTGCCACAGGCTGCAGGTGGTGGCCGTGATGTCCCCAGTGCCACAGGCTGCAGGTGGTGGCCGTGGCAGCCCGTGGTGGTGGCTGTGATGTCCCCAGTGCCACAGGCTGCAGGTGGTGGCTGTGGTGTCCCCAGTGCCACAGCCTGCAGGTGGTGGCCGTGGCAGCCTGTGGTGGTGGCTGTGGTGTCCCCAGTGCCACAGCCTGCAGGTGGTGGCTGTGGTGTCCCCAGTGCCACAGGCTGCAGGTGGTGGCCATGGCAGCCTGCAGGTGGTGGCTGTGGTGTCCCCAGTGCCACAGCCTGCAGGTGGTGGCCGTGGCAGCCCGTGGTGGTGGCCGTGGGTCCCTCAGCACTCAGCATCCACGGTGTGCACGGTGACAGCGGCCTGCAGGTGGTGGCTGTGGTGCAGGGCGGGGTGGTGCAGGCGGTAGTGGTGGAATTTGTGGCTCAGCAGTGCTGCTGTCTGCGGGGGTGTGTCCAGCTCCAGGTCCTCCTCGTGGGTGCCCACGTCCACGCCGGCAGACAGAGGGTCGTTATTGCAGGGGGGGTTCTCGCTGTCCTCTTGGGGGCTCATCGTGCTGTAGCCTGGGAATGAACAGCAGCAGTGAGCACAGCAAGGCTGGATGCTCAGAATTCCCAGGGCTGGCTGGGCACCCTTGGTGGAATCAACACAGGGTGCTGAGAGAGGGAACAAAACTGTTTTCTGACTAGAACAAACCCCAACAGACTCATTATCTCCTCTAAGTCTATAACAGATCCCTTTCCTGGCCACTCAGAATTCCCAGGGCTGTCTGGACACCTTCATGGAATCACACAGGGTGCTTAAGGAGGGAGTAAAACAATTTTCTTAACAGAACCAACCAAACTCACCCTCTCCTCTAAGTCCATACTGAATCCCTTTCCCTGCCATCATCTTTGGTTCAAAGCTTTGGGGACCTGTGGTTTGTGCCGCCCCAAACAGTAACAGCACCCACGTGTTCAATAGTTTGTAACAACAGAATTGCTGGCACTGATTTCGAACCAAAACATAAAAGATACCACCCTCAAAAGATCTGTTAAGATATTACCTGGATTTATCCAAACCAGCTGTTACCAACCAGACCAGGCTGCAGGGCAAACAACTCCCCCTCAGCACTTCTAAATGCAAAACCAAATGAAATTTAAAAGGAAAAAGATCTTGCTTTAATTAGTAAATCCTTCTCAAAAACCAAGGAGTAAAGGCTGAGGAAGCACTGGTGCTTCTGAGCATCTCGCTCAGGTTTTCAGCTGGAGACACCTAAAAGGAGGGTGGTAAAAATAGCAGCTGAGTCCCCAAAGCTGCCTCCCATTTCCCATGCTCTGAGTCATGGCTTGGAGCTGGCATGGAGGAATTGGGGAAGAAGCCTGGGCAGCCCTTTGAAGAAGATGGAATTACAGAAACTAAAAATAGCAGTGCACATTCCAGATGGAGGTAGACAGCTCCCCTGCTAACCCAGGATGACTAAAAGATGGGAAGGATTTGCTGGGACTGCAAGAAAAGGAGCAAAGGGAGCATTAATCTGGCAAATCTGCCTCAGCACAGGTAATCTCACCCCAAATCCAGGGTAATTCCTCCTAGAGCAAGATTGTCTAGGAGACATCTGTTCATCCACGTTCCAAGGCTTTGGCCTTGGGTTTCCTGTCCCAATTCCATTAGTGCAACCAGAGTCTTAGTGCTGGGCCAGGTCTGCTGGGAGGTCCCCAGCCTTGCAGAGCTGACAGCTTGCAGACTGCCTTGTCTAGCCCACCTCCTCCTCATTTCCTAATAAATTAAGCCTTCTCATGAGTCAAAAGCATTACACCCTTCTAGCAGCTTTTCAGATTTAAGGAGATTTAGTCTCAGGGCAGGGGAAACACGTCCCAAACCCCTGAGCCTAATGGTACCCAGCATTTGCTTAAAGGTGCTGGAAGATCACAGAATCCCAGAATGGTTTGGGTTGGAAAGGCCATTAAAGATGATTCCATCCCACCCCTGTCATGGCAGGGACACCTTTCACTGTCCCAGGCTGCTCCAAACCCTGTCCAACCTGGCCTTGGGCACTGCCAGGGATGCAGGGGCAGCCACAGCTGCTCTGGGCAGAACAATTCCTTCCTAAACTCTGATCTAATCCTACTCCCTTTCAGTGTGAAGCCATTCCCCTTGTCCTGTCAATCCAGTTCCCTCAGGGGGATGAACCTTCTCCTGATCTCCAGCCCAACCCTCCCCTGGCACAGCTCTTGTCCCTGTCACAGGGGGCACAGAGCACAGCTCCTGTCACTGTCACAGAGCACAGCTCCTGTCCCTGTCACAGGGGCACAGAGCACAGATCTTGTCCCTGTCACAGGGGGCACAGAGCACAGCTCCTGTCCCTGTCACAGAGCACAGCTCCTGTCCCTGTCACAGGGGCACAGAGCACAGATCTTGTCCCTGTCACAGAGCACAGCTCCTGTCCCTGTCACAGGGGCACAGAGCACAGCTCCTGTCCCTGTCACAGAGCACAGCTCCTGTCCCTGTCACAGGGGCACAGAGCACAGCTCCTGTCCCTGTCACAGGGGGCACAGAGCACAGCTCCTGTCCCTGCCACAGGAGCACAGCTCCTGTCCCTGTCACAGTGGGCACAGAGCACAGCTCCTGTCCCTGTCACAGGGGCACAGAGCACAGCTCCTGTCCCTTGGGAGGATGTTGAGGACTCCAATGCAATCTCCCCCAGACCAAACCCAGCCAGAACCGTCCAAGCAGCCGAGTGCCCTGTCTGGCTCTGCTCCTGGCTGCCCGCCGGGCACAGAGCCAGCCTGCAGAGGGGAGAGAGCCCCAGCGCTGCCAGGGAGAGGCCCAGGACTCACCGTGGTCGCTCTCGGTGCCGGAGCGGCCCCAGTAGCGGCGGCGGCGCTCGGGGCTGTGTGCGTGGCGCTCGATCACGGCCGCGATGAACCGCGTGTTGCTGACTGCGACAGACACAAAGAGCTCAGGGCACAGCCCGCTGCACGGGGCACTGCCCAGACACACAGCAGCCAGGCTGCTCCACCTGGGCTGTGCCATGCTGAGGGGCCCGTGGCAACATGTAAGGACTCCAAAGGAAACAAAAAGGGATGTGGAGAAGCTGTAGATGCAAGCCGTGAAGCTCAGATATGCTTATTTTTCCATTTTTGAATGTTGACACGGTTTCAAATCTTGGGTATTGTTTTAGTGAGGGCCCAGAGCCAGGGATCCAGTCTGACCCTGGAGCTCCCCTGGAATTTGGTGCACCAGCTGCACTTACAGCACACCAGGATCATGCAAAGTGCCATTTTTATTGGATGGCAGAGAACTGCAGGCACCCCAAATCAATGCAAAAAAGATTTACTGTCATGTTTGCTGACCATACTTGGCTTCTGCTTTCTAAGGCCAAAAAAAGGGAAGGGCTTTTCACACCCTGTGCTGTCACAGTGGTAATTTTTGAGCTGATCAGAGCTATTTCTGGAAGTACTCATGACAAGGGGTTGTAAGGGGCAAAACTCCTCCACACCTAATGGAGAATTATCTTTTAAAAGTAAAAAATGCCATTTTTCAGCATGAGACTAAAGGTGCACTAAATGTTTGAACTAAAATATTGCTCTGTCATTTTCTACTGATGATCAGAGCTATCAGCACAGGGCTTCCTCACATATTCAAATCTAGGGTGTTAAAAAACAAATGGCTTAAAAAACCCCAAAACTGTAAGACTGAATCTCTCAGTTTTTCAGGTTTTTTGGTACTTACTGATTCCTCTGTCTTCATGGCTGTCATCATCCCTCTCATCCCTGTCATTTTCCAGGTTGGACATACGCACTGACATTTCTACAAACAGAAAATAGAAACAGAAAACACAGCTGGTGAGGGAAAGGTTCTGCACCATCTTACTGCCAGCTGTCACCCCACGAACAAGAGTGGAAGCACTTTGTGTTACTGCTCTGAGCTGGGGGTGCTCTTCTTCCAGCGTGGGGCTGGGATAGCAGGAAATGCCTCATCCCAACTCTCTCACTTTGAAGTTCTGAAGGGAGTGATTTACAACAGAGCTGGGGGATGATCAAATATAGAGGTAATTGGCTGTGATCACACTTAAATTCCCAGAATGGTTTGGGTTGGAAAGGGCCTTAAAAGCCCATTTTTTTCCAGCCCCTGCCACAGGCAGAGACACCTCCCTCTATCCCAGGCAACTCTGAGCTTTGCCCAGCCTGGCCTGGAACACTTCCAGGGAGGTGTGCTCACCTCTGGATCTTTCTCTTTGTACCAGTGTCCCTTCTCCCAGCACAATTTTTCCTCTTAGACTTCAGTGGTTTCATCTCTCTATGCACAGACATTCCATGAACATCACATGGACCAGAACCAGGAAAAACAAGTGAAAAAAGACACATCCCAAACCCGAGGCAAAAGGGAGTGAAAAATGTGTCACTCCCAGCAGCTGCACAAAACAAACACATGATGGATCTGCTGGGCTGAGCTGCAGAAAGCTGGGATTAGTGTCTGAGCTCTGGCAAAGCTTAGCTTATCTCCCTCTGGGTCTGGGCAGGCTCCCTGGGCAGCAGCAGCAGCTCTGGCTGTACCAGGAGAGGGCAGCAAGACACAGCCCCTGCGCCAGGCCGGCTCCCTGCAGCTCCAGCACGGAGTAAAACCGGGAAACACTGCAACAGAACCGCGGGGACAGCCTTGGGATCGCTTTTGCTGTGCTGCTGGGCTTTTGTTTTTCATCCCCAGCCTGTTGTTGAGTCCCCGAGTCGAGCTCACCCTGTGCTGCCAGCGGGGACATGTGCTGGTGGCTGCGGCGGTGGATCTGGTGCCGGTACGCGTACACGGCCAGCACCAGCACCATGATGCAGCCCATGATGCCTCCAGCCACCGGGCCCACGGGGGCACTCTTGATCATGTTCAGGGTGATCACCTCGTCTCCTAAAGCAAACAGGACAAAGCAGAGGGAGAACAGCACCATAAATGCTCTGCAGGAAGGGTTAAACCAACACGGAACACAGAGGAGCTCTGCAAGGATTTCTGGGTGCCTGACTGTGCTCACTTGGAACAGAAGAAGGAACTCAGAGAGGTGCAGAAAGGGTTAATCAACAATATGGAACATGGAGAAGCTCTGCAAGGATTTCTGGGTGCCTGACTGTGCTCACTTGGAATAGGAGGAACTCAGGGAGAGTGCATCTTGCAAGAGAGGAATGCAGAGTTACACTCTGCTCCACATCAGGATTTTCCAAAAGGTGATATTCACCACATCTTTGCTGCCTGGTGCACTCTTTATGCTGCTTTAGCACCAGGGTAAGAGGTAAATGCTATGTGCAGAACCTGCTGCATGTTCTGGAACACAAAGAGCTGAAGGCAGCACCTGCTCAGGAAGGCAGAGTTACCTATTGCTCCCAGGTCATCCACATAGGGACTCTTGGCTCCCACGATGCCACCAAAGCATTCCTTCTGAGGGGCACAGTAGGACTTGTCCAGGTGTGTCTTCCCATCGCTGTCCACCATGCACCACTCGCAGTCCAGCACCCCAAAGCAATCCCTGCATGGCAACACCCAAGCAGGACACGGTTACTTTCCAGTTTAACACCTCTCCTTTGCAAAGATCAGTCTGGGTTAGAGCCATGAGACACAGGGAGTCCAAAAGCATCTGTAAACTCTCAAGTGCATGACTTTATCCAGAAAAAATTCCATAGAAGTGCTTAAGTGCCACCACAGAAGTTACACAGGGAAGCTGCATTTCCAGCATCCCCTTTCCAACTCTGTCTGCTTTGGTATTTTCCTGCACCACTCAGCCTGAGCAAAGGGAGAACCCTACTTGTAACTCCTCCAATAAGACATTTCTCATTGTGGTGAAGTCTGTCTGCAGTTCCAGCCTTACTCTGCAGCCTATGGAAGAAGGAAGAAAGGATTTGGACAGTCTGGTCAGAGCTTGGTCTGTTTTACCCATTTCAGGTCCCTGGAGACTGCTCAGAGCAAAAATGAGCCCTCAGAGCCAGGAGTAGAACCTCATTCTGGCATCATGCTTTTTTTCCCTATATTTTTTTATTTGAAACATTTAAAGCAGAGCTATTTCCATTGGATTATTTCCACAGGAGAGTATTCCAAGGGATGGGGAAGGCCACCTTACCCACTCTCTGTTCTCTGGTTGCACTGGGTGTTGATGCACTGTGGGAGTGCATCCTGCAGGCTGGGATCGATGGCTGTGAAAGTCATCGGCTCCTGATGCACCTCACAGCTCGGATTCCTGCATGGCAGCAAAGAACAGAGCACTCAAAGCACAGTCAATTAAAATCATCTTTACCTCCTGCACATCACCTGCTTCATTGTACTGAAAACTCTGCCTGGTGGATCTCAGCAGGACCAACAGGGAATTTGCTCCTGCAGCGTCCCGGCTCTCACCTGCTCTCGGCGTTGGTCAGGTTCCCAGTGCACTCGTTCACCTCCAGTGGGCACTCACAGGGACACTCACACTCGTTCTGTTCCATCCTGCAGGGCAGAAAACACAGGGAAAGCCATCAGACACCACCGGGATTTTAACCCTGTGGTGGTGCAGCTCTAGAGCAGCAGTTCCCATGGAAAAGGCTGTGCAGTGACTCTGCTCCTTCCTCAGAACAGGGATTGCCCTGTCCTGCACCAGGACTGAGGGTGGTGCACTCCTGGAATTCCAAATGCAGGGAGTCCCTCAGACTTGGATGCAGGGATCCTTCCTGGCAGTGCCACAAACACCTCAGGTTGGTGTGGGCAAAACCTCCTGGATCCCCTCCATGAAAACCCCCCAATCCATGTAAAATCATGGAAATTTCTATGCCATAGAAATTTCTATACCTCACTCACAGTAACTGCTCTTGAGTCACTGAATCTCTCGGTGTCTTTCAGCATTATCTGCCCAAACTCTCTGAGAAGCTGGCAGAGATACCCTGCACCTCTTACAGGGAGCACAGGCAGAGAACTCTGAATTAACTGATGAATTCCCTGTGCTCTTGCAGGAGTGTCACAGCCCACCCAGCGCTGTCACCTGTGGCAGTTGAGGCACAGCCTGTCCACCATGCTGCAGGCACAGAAGGCCAGCGAGTCGCACGTCTCGTTGACGATGCCCACGAAGGCGTTGGTGCCCGGGATCCTCGTCAGCCTGTACTTGGAGCAGTGACTGCCATGCACCAGGTTGGTCAGGTCACCCTGGGCAAAAACAAGGTGTCAGTGCTGTCAGAGGTTGTTTTAGGGAGCTGAAGACTCCTCCCTTTCCCAGGGATCCTACAGAGCTGTGGGGACGTGGATTCTGCCGTGGCTTCCGTGGTGGCTCCTCTCAGGAGTTTTTGTGAGGGAGTGCCACCCTCACAAAACAGAGGCTGATTAATGGGTGGGTAAGTTTTGCTACCCAGATACTTCTGGGTGAAAAGACTTTGCTGAAGATAGAAAGGAATTGGCTTAGTTGTGAAAATGAGACGTGGCAGCAGAGGTGACGTTCCACTCCTTCCCAGTGCTCGCTGACCCGTCCCCACGGTGCCAGCCCTCAGTGACCTCCCCAGAAGCTCTGATGGGAGCCACCACCACCTGCTGGAAACCTCCTGAGACTTAAAAAAGGACACCACAGCACGGCCCAGCTCCTGCAGGCTCCTTCCTGATTCCTTCCTACAAGTTTCTGCTCCGTCCTACACTATTTCCTTCCCAACATCACACTTCCCACTTGGCATTTCAAGTGTGGGGAAAATGTTTAAGCCAACCTCACATAAATCAATGTATTCTGACATGACTTGCAAATATTTTCCAATCTTCTCCCACAGTGTAACAGCTTTGGAATCACTGTGGAGGGAGTTTGGCAGGGTGGATCTGTGGCTCTTTGAGGGATGACAGCCCTTGGTTTAACTTCTCTTGAGAGGAAGCTCACACAGAATCCATGGAGAGCACAGAGTGTGCAGGACCCCAGAGATTTCAGTCTCACAAATGACAGCCTGGGAATGCTCACCAGTAAATGGATTTGTTTGGACACCTAAAGATAAGTCATTAGAGACCTGACAGGAGGATGTGACTCTGGTCAGAGCTGGAGCCAGAGGTCAGCTCAGATCCAAAGCGACACATCCCAACTACAGCTGGAAAATCCTCACCCAGCAAGAACAAGCTGCCCTTCTTCCCCTGATGCTGGCTGAGACCCTGCAGACAGCAGCCACACTTGGCCAGGGCTCACATCCATAACCCCTGGATGTCAGGGGACTCTGTTTGTGCATCCTGGTTTGTGTCTGGAGAAGAGGAACAGAGGCCAATCCCGCAGAACACTGGCTCCCAGCCCCAGCTGCTGAGCCTGGCAGGGACTTGTGTTTCCACCAGGAGAAACCCAACCCAACCAAAGCCCACTCAAAAGCAAAATCAGATGGAAACCACGCTCACCACTAAGCTGGTGTTGAATTTATAGAAGCGCTGCACGGTCCTGTCGCTGAAGCTGTTGCAGAGGTTCTTCTTGACGAAGTTGGGGTGGTTCAGGATGTCGTTTGCTACCAGAGGCTCCTAAGGGGGAAAGGCAGGATTTGATGCCTTTGGAATCAGAGCCAGACAGGAATGAGAGATATGGAATAAGGCAAGGGAAAGCAGGCAGACCTTGTGTGTGATGTGCTGCTGCTCCACGGGCGCGTGGCCCTTGGGGTCGATGAGGGTTGGATGTGCCACCAGGTACCCCCTGTCCTCCATGATGAAGCACCTGCCCCCAAAACACAGCGAGAGCCTCCTGTTAGACCTCCTTGGGCTTCAGAGCAATGGGGTGAAATAAAACATGGTCTTAAAGGGCTTTTAAAGGTTTCCATTCAACAGGACCTGAAACAAATTCCCTGCAAAATGTTCTTAAAGAATGTGTTGGGTATTTTCCCAAAGCTTTTCCATCTGCTACTGCTCCAGAGAGCCAGGGCCATCAAGGAGTTGAAAACAGAGCTGATTAAAACCAGAAAGGAGAAGCCATCAGTGCATTGTCTGATTGGGGGAGAGCCAGAAATGAACAGAGCCTAATGAACTTGGAAAGCTTTAATGGTTTATTAATTTACTATGTGATTAATTAAAGAGAGATTTCACACTCTCCTTTAATGCCCTCCCCCTTCAGAATTCATTTTGAGCGGGGAATAAATCACTCCCAGCCCTCCCAAGCTTTCCTCTCCCTTTTCAGCTCTTCCCACGTTGGAGCTGTGTCCCAGTCCAGAATCCAGGAGTTCAATCCATCCCTTTTCCCCTTTTTCCCTTTCCCCCTCTCCCGTTTCCATGGCCACAGACGGCAGCGCTGGGGAAGGCGCAGGAGCCCCGGCCAGGGTGGCACCGACATCAGGGACTCGGTGGTGGAGGGGACAGGGGGAGGTTAAAACCCCACTTGATGTCCCCAAAAGCTTAGCAGGGTGGCAGCCACAGCCCTGGCACAGCAGGAATCCAGCTGGACCCGGGGCTGGAGCAGCTTCCAGTGGGATTCTCATGGGATGTGTCGGGTACCCACAGCAGCTCAGGGAAGCAGAAAGCAGGGGAAGCCTCTGTGCTCTTTAGGGGTACAAAGGAGGCAGGAAAACTTGAATTTTTTTGGGGGGTTTCCATTAGAAATATAAGTAGGGATGTGATTTTTACTCTTTTCCCTGACATAAAATCCTTAGGAGAGATACACTACAAAAACCCAAACACCTGCGTTTATGTCAAGACTGGAAACACTAGATCCAATTTCTACATCAGAATGGTTTGAAAAATATCCTCAAAAAAATATCCTCATTTGGGGAATGCAGGAACAGAATAAAGCATCTGACCATGCTGATCAGCAGCAGTTTTTTACTGGGAGGGAGTAATGCCAAACCAGAAATCCTGATTTGTTTTTTTTTATATGCCATAAAATATATAGAAAAATACCCAAACCAGAAAGAACTGGGAGGACGACAGAAAACCACTTCCCTTCCCAAATTTAAGGTTTAAAAACAAACATGGAACCAACAGCAATGCCCAAACCACATTATCAAGTTACTCCAGATTCAAACCAGAATTTTTCCCACCCCCACAGGATTTTTGAAAAAAGGAACAATTAAGATACCCAGGGGTCTGTCTGACTGAAATTGGATACTCCAGATGCAATCAGACTTCTTCTGGTCTAGGCTGTGCTATGGATTTCTGAGAAAAACATCCCAAAAGTGTATTTGAATAATTGGAGTTAAAATAACTGAGATACTGTATCATTCTTACACGCTCACAGGAACTAAATACGCTAAATTAAAACAAACAGGAGAACTGGGAAGTGTGTTCATTTAATAAGGAATGCTTTTTTCCCCAGAATTTCTAAGAAATCTAAATATAACTAAAAAATCAAATCAAATCTGTTATCTTCTGCTTTTGTAATCCTGCAGACCTGCAGATTGTTTATTTACTGATGGCAGTTTGATCTGGAGTAACAAAAACATCCATATGGGAAGGACAAGCACAAGTTCTATGGAAATCAGAGAACACACACTGAAAGTAACAGAATCCTTGGAGAAATGAAGTTGGAAACGACCTCTCGGTCATCTGGTTCAAGAAAATAAGTATTTTATTTATTTTTACCTGATTTTGTTCCCCCCATCTTGGTTACAAACTGGCAGCAGGTCCATGAGGACTTTGTAGAAATATCTGAGGGTGAAGTCGATGCCCATCACGGCCACGGAGTGTCCTGAGGACATCTGAGCACTGCAGTTAAGGGGAAAGGGAAAAATTATAAATATTATAAATAATAAAAAACATTTTAATTTAGGGCAATAATAATACTAATACTAATACTAATAATAATAATAATAATTCCTATTTTAGTTACTCTTTGTACAGCCAGCACAGGAAACAGCCCAGGAGTGGATCCCACCCTACACACACCCCCA